AGAGAAGCTTTGGGGTGTGGGATTCTGGGACCCTTATGGACCGGCTGTCCTGGATGTGTGCTGATCCCTTCCCGTCCTTGCCTGGGGATGTGCTGGCCTGTTCTGCAGCCTGGGCGAGCAGAGCTGAACCCTCCAGGCCGCCACATTTAGCTCTAGTTTCCTCACACACCCAGGTCATTGCACTTTTATGGTCCAGTGTCACTCCTCCTACCTGCTGCCTCCAATGCAGCATCCCTCTGGAAATGCCACTAGGGCAGCCCCCCTTGCCCCAGTCCGTGGAGGTGCCACCCCAGCCCTGCCCTGCACACACATCTCGTGTGCTCAGCTGTGTGCGGGCAGGGCTGGCTCAGCACCGCCCACATTCCCGGGGTGGTCACCGTCCATTCTGCAGGGCGTTAGGGCGGATTTCCTTAGTGGAACCTCCCTGGAATGACACAGACGTGACCTGTGACCTCCACGTCACTGTACGGGCGCCTGTGCTGCGGTTCCTCACACTTTCCCTCCCAGCAGGGTCTGGGAGGTGTAGTGGACCTGCTTCCTCCTCGTAGTAACACCGCGCTCGCAGGGCAGGAGTAACCCGTGGGTTCCCTTTCCAGCACCCCAAGTTCCCTGACCCAGTTCTCATGGCTGCTGACAGCTCCTGAACACTAGCCTAGATTTTCTCCCAGAGCTGAATGTTGCCCTCCCCACTGTCGTGTTAAGTACCCATTTCATCTTGGCCCTGTCCAGTAGTGTTCATCCCCTCCTCCCTGCTCTGTGGATTCCTGAGACAAACTTGATTTTTTTTGTATTGACCAGTGTACAGTGATGGAAACAAGAATGACTATCAAAGCAAACAATGCATGGAATAAAAAGCCAGTGTACTTCAATGCTGCAGGCTGGTCTGGTGATCTGGGAAGGGGTTCTTATGGACTTTGGGTAACGTCATGAAGCCTTGCTCTGGGGTCTCCTATCTGCCCCCTTCCACGGCAGGAAGATTACTTTATCCTCCAAGAGGAGGGCAAACTCAGGGAGAGCAAGGAGGTGCAAATACCAAAACTCCAAGACCAGAGTATAATCCTTGGGAGAAGAGGGCCTGGCACAGGTTGCCCAGAGAAGCTGTGGCTGCCCCTGGATCCCTGGAAGTGTCCAAGGCCAGGTTGGACAGGGCTTGGAGCAACCTGGGCTAGTGGAAGGTGTCCCTGCCCATGGCAGGGGGTGGAATGAGATGATCTTTATGATCCCCTCCAACCCACACCATCCTGGATTCTATGTTCTCCAGCAACTGGGACAAGAACCCACTTGTTTATTTGGAAACCTTCTAGTTATACAGGAGCAAATATGTAGGTTTCAAAGTGCTTCTCAGGGACAAATCCCTGTCAGCCAGGCACATCCATTCCTTTTCTTTTCCCCTTTAGTCTTTATGGGGAGTAGCAGCCACTGACAGACTGGGGAAGCAATCTTGTGTGTTCTGACACGACTGGTACACACAGGCAGCCCAAATCCTGAGCATTTTGCTGCAGGGTGTGCTGGTTTAACATTGGAATCAAAGAAGAGTCTTCAACAGCTGCACCTTGAAACACCATTATTTTCTCAGCTTGGGGCTTGTGCTACTGCACCCAACAGCACCATTTGTCATTTTAGGCCAAAAATGCTAAATCAGTCTGGGGTTGGAGGGAGCAGGGCCTGCCTCCTGCCTCCAGGGCAGTGCTTGGCCTCCCTGTGCTGGGCAGGATTAAGGGGTTCTGGTTTGCCTTCCTCACAGGATGCCAACACTCCTTTTGTCCCCATGGCAGTGGGCTGGGCACCCCCTCAGGCACACAGGGGATGATTTAAACGAAACAGGCACATTAACCAACTGTTCACAAAGTCCCTGTATCGCTCTCTCCGTGCAGGTACATGCACAGGTAAACATTCATCAAAAATAAGAATCTTACACCTCCTCTGAGATGAGGAGGACAATTAAAAACTGCCACTGTCCTTGGTGGCACAGAGCATGCAGAATATAACCCCCTGCAGAGACCTGCAGCTTTTACCCCAAAACTGGGGCACCTGAACCATCAGAAACTCTTTTTGCCATTGAGTGTCTGAGTTTGCTTGTCTCCATCCAGCTTCAAGTGCTTCTTGCTGTATCTCTTGATGAGGGTCCCTGGTACCAGGGCTACCATGGCCATTGCCAGCAGTTTGAGCAGCGTGTCCCAGGAGAAAATGGCATCCAGAGAGGTGATCTGGGACAGAATGGCCCCTGTCTGCACACAGATGAAATTATATGGTGTAAGGCCTGAAAGAATCAGAGCAGAAAAAAGCTGTTAGCATCCCCCCCGGGAAAATTAGCTCAAATATGCCCAAGGCTACACACAGAATCACAGAATGGTTGGTGTTGGAAGGGACTTCTGGAGATCATCCAGTCCAACCCCCCCTGCCAAGGCAGGGTCACCTCAAGACACAGGAACGCACCTGAGTGGGTTTGGAATGTCTCCAGGGAGGGAGACTCCACACCCTGCCTGAACACTCTATTCCAGTGCTCTGCCACCCTCCATAGAAAGAAGTTCTTCCTCATGTTGAGGTGGAACTCGCTGTGGTTTAGTTTATGGCCCTTACACAGACACAAGGGTCTGTGCTTATAACAGAAAGAACGAGGTGTAAATCAAGATTTGCAGCAGGGGGACACACACACATATTTGCAAAATGCTCTGAGACCTCAGGGCAGCACAGAGGTAAACAGTTAAATGGGGCAGAGTCCTGCTGCTCTGCCTTCCCTGGGCTCAGTGATGACGAGCAGCAGTGTCACACTGTCCCCTCGGACTGTGTCCCCAGGCCTTACCGATGAGGACGGACAAGAAGAACTGGGACACGGGGATGTTTAAAATGGGAGCCGAGAGGTTCAGAAACCAGTTTGGTGTCATGGGGAACAGCCTCAGGAACAACAAGAAGAAAAATAAGCAGCTCCTGTTCTCTTCTACCTGCCAAGAGAAACGTTCCACATTATTTCTGCTCCTCAGACGGCAGTAACACTGGAAAGGCCACGATGCTTCTGCCACAACATCAGTCCAGAACTGATGAAAAGCAGCAACGTTATGTGTGTGTGGGAGCGTAAGGGTGAGCCAGCCTGTTCCAAGGAAGTGATGGAAGTGGGATCTCACCTGAATTAGAGATCAGGAAGGCAACAGCAGAACCACCTCCAGCTGTACAACTCAGCAAAGGATGGATGGAGGCGGTTCTGGAGAACAGGGACTTCCCAATCAATCCTTGTCTTACTTCTGATTTTCCTTGGGATCTGGGATTTTCCCCACAGCCCCTCTGCAAACAGGCTTGCCCCAAGAGAGCAGCCTGCTCCTAGGCTGTGCCCTTAGCAGACCTGATGTGTCCCCTGCACACATTCATTTTTACTAAGCCATCCCAAAAGCAGCCTGACCTAGGGACATCCTGGGTGTCTGCAGAAGCACCAGTTCTTACCTTCCCTTGCAGCAGAGCCACTTTCTCAGGGAAGTAGTGGACGACGAGCTGCTTGCCGAAGGCAGCAGAGAGCAGGTAGCACAGGGTGGCTCCCACCGACGTGAGCACCGAGCACAGCACCAGCCCCGTCCATGGCCCGAAGAGAGCTCCCGCCAGGACATTCTGTGGGGACAACAGGGAGTGAGGCCCAGTGTGTCACAGAATAGTCAGGGTTGGAAGGGACCCCTGGAGATCATCCAGTCCAACCCCCTCTGCCAAGGCAGGGTCACCTGGAGCAGGTGACACAGGAACGTGTCCAGGTGGGTTTGCAATGTCTCCAGAGGGGGAGACTCTGTGCCCTCCCTGGGCAGCTGTTCCAGTGCTCTGCCATCCTCCTGCCTCATGTTGAGGTGGAACTTCTTACGTTTTAGTTTGTGGCCCTTGCTCCTTGTCCCGTCACTGGGCACCACTGAAAAGAGCCTGGCCCTGTCCTCTTGGCACCCACCTTGGACATATTTATATGGATTAATGAGATCCCCTCTCAGTCTTCTCCAGACTAAACAGGCCCAGCTCCCGCAGTTTCCACTCAAAAGAGAGATGCTCCAGACCCCTCATCATCTTTGTGGCCTCCACTGGACCCTCTCTAGTAACTCCATGTCTCTCTTGACCTGAGGAGCCCAGACAGGACACAGCACTCCAGATGTGCCTCACTAGGGCTGAGCAGAGGGTCAGGATGACCTCCCTGACCTGCTAGCTATACTCTTTCCGATGTCCCCCGGGATCCCATTGTCCCTCCTGGCCCCCAGGGCAGGCTGCCGGCTCACAGCCAACGTGTCACCCACCAACACTCCCAGGTCCTTCCCCGCAGAGCTGCTCTCCGCCAGGGCAGCCCCCAGCCTGTGCTGGTACAGGGGGTTATTCCTCCCCGGCTGCAGGGCCGGGCCGGTCCCTCTGGCCCCTCCTGACCGAGCCGTGGCTCGCCGGCCTCGCCCTTTGCCCCCCGTGCCCGTACCAGGAGGCTGGAGCCAGGGATGGCGAAGCTCTGCTTGTACAGGTAAGCGCCGCAGAACAGCGCCAGCGCCGCGCCCCGGTGCTGCCGCTCGTAGTCCCGCAGCGCCTCGGCCAGATCCCGCAGCTCCTCCAGGTCCGCCGGGAACCGCAGCGCCCTGAGCGGGGAGAGAGACGGGCGGTGCCGGGGAGGGTGGGGAGAGACAGAGAGACGCAGGGGCAGCCCCGGCGGGACAGAGGGACATACGGGCAGCCCCGGCCCCCCGCACCCACCTGCGCGTCTGCCCCGCGCTCAGCCGCACCGACAGCAGCCACAGCGCGGCCGTAGCGGCCGCGAAGACGAGAAGGAGCCCGGCCGGGCGCCGCCACATCCCGGGTCGGAGCCGCCGCTACCGCCGCTCTGGCCCGGCCCTGCCGGCCCTCAGAGCCCCGAGACGGGCGCGCAGGCGCAGGGCGGGGCCGCCCCTGAGGGCGGGGATGGCGGGCGGGGCTGCCCCTGAGGGGACGCGCGAGGGCTCGGAGGGAGCCTGCACCCCTCGGGGTTCAAAGGCGGTTCAGCGCGGATACGCTCCTTAAACACGCGCTTTAAACCCACGCGCTGCTGTTGTTTTATTGTCGCTCCCACAGCCCCTTTGTACGCCCTGCGTGGAGAGCGGGCCCCGCTGCCCGGTCCGCATGGGAGGCGCCCCGGGAGCTCCAGGTGAGTCCCCACACGGCTGTGAAATGTCCCGGGAGCTCCAGGTGAGTCCCCACACGGCTGTGAAATGTCCCGGGAGCTCCAGGTGAGTCCCCACACGGCTCTGAAGTGTCCCGGGACCGCCAGGTGAGTCCCCACACGGCTCTGAAGTGTCCCGGGACCGCCAGGTGAGTCCCCACACGGCTGTGAAATGCCCCTGCCCCGCCCAGACACGGCGTCCTCGGGTTTCGGCTTCAGCACGGGATGGGCTTGAAGGTTCTCTGAGTGTTCTCCGTCAGCACAAGGTCGTATCGGCACAGCTGGGGTCTGTGTGAAAACACGGGCCAAAAGTGAAAAAAGGCTTTTTTTCCCCTGTCATCCTCCAGTTGAGTCTCGCCGTGTGCTGGGGGCATATGTAAAATAACTCGTGTTCTCAGGAGAACTAGCTCCGAATCCACCTAAAGTGAGTGAGGTGCTCTTTAAGCCTTACCAAGGCCAGGGATACCTTGAGCTTTTTTCTCTTCTGTTCTACGTGATCTTTTGCTTGTGAGAAAAACAGAATGCGAAAAGCCCCAGCAAACAGGCACTGCCTGCAGATCCATGGTTCCCATTAAACCAGTCCACACCTCTGTGTCCACCAAAAAAGGTGGTCCTTCCAGCTCACCTGCCTGGTCCTGCTGCTTTGCTGCTCCCAGCATGAGGAATTCTGCTGCTGCTCTGAGCTGGGACCAGGCATTGATCTGGCCTGGAGCTAGTCCAGCCAAAAACCAGAGGAAATACTTAAGCTTTCACTGGGAAAACATGAGCATTAGCCCTGGAAGAGGGGAGGAGGGAGGGAAGGGCATCCCTCCCCTGGCAGTGACTGATTACTTAATGTGTTAAAAGTCCTGAATATTTTTGCTTCACCCTCCTCGCTCTGTGATATGCAGCCCTTGTTTTAACCCAAACTTAAAGCATGGCCTGGCTTGATGTCCACATGGTGGTTTTGCACACAAAGTCAGCCTAAGAGATTCTGTGCTTGCTGAGCTCAGGCAGAGATTCCATCCTCCAAAGGTGCCCTAGGAATCAGGGAAGCTTAGGGGTAGGACTGCAGAACAGACAGAAGCTAAAGAGGTGACTGAAGCAGCTGGAGAAATATCACCAGCAGTGCTCTGGGAGGTACCTCATGGTGTTGTGGGCAGCAGTCAGGGCTTTGGGCAGAGTGGCCAGCAGCTCCCAGTCGCTGGAATTCCAGGAGTAAAATAATCTCCCTGCTTGACTGCCCATAGAGATTGACTGGGATATAAAATGTGCATTTGGGGCTGGGCATCTCTGCTTCCCTGACAGCTGCATTTCCCTTCAGCCCGGAGTTCAGGCCTGGGCAGCTTCTCAAAGGTCATTTTCCTGACCAAAGGTCAAGATGTCAGACCACATCAGAGTCACGTCACCAGTGGCGTGTTTTCAGTACGATAAGACAGCCTCTGTGTTCAAGTAGGTATTCAGCTGTGGGATTCTATTCCCATGATATGTGTATGAGAATTATTAAATGTGAAATCAAATCTAATTCTTCTGCACAAACTCAGCCAGGCCAGCAGTCTGGGAGATTCGTTTGCTTCTGTCCAGTCTACAACAATAGAAATGGTTTGTTTGTAGAGCTCTGCTCACCTTTCTGGGTTCGTGAGTGACTGGAACCTCATTTGGAGAATCCTGAGTTTGAATTTTGGGCCAATGACAGATCCTGTGGAAAATGTCAAGGAAATTTTCTCTACGTTTTCAAGATCCTGGTCGAATCCCGTGAGCAAAGTAATTTGGTTGTACTGCTGGAAGGTGGCAGCTTCTCTGAAGGTAAAGCAGACAGAGTGTCAGAATCCCCAAGGGAATAGCACCAGGTTTAATGTATTCAGTGTAACATTAGTAGCAGAGCTGGGGGAGGAGGGCACAATTAGTGATTAGTTTCTGATTTACAGAAGGTGGGTGTGGATTCAGGCCCCCAGGTGTGAACCTGCTCAGCCACTTTGGCACTCAGCTCTTTGGGGTGGGAGTGGGGACACAGAGGTCTGATATTGTTTGTCCCAAACCAGAATCCTCTCCGTGATTCTGCTTTGATCCCGAGTGGACTGAATCCAAGTGATGTTTGTACCTGGCTGGCTGTGCAGACCTGAACACTGAGTCACTTCGAGACAGGCATGAAATCTGCACTGCTCTTGGTGCAGGAGCGATGCAGATTGCTCCACTGCAAGCAGATCCCAGATATGGCTGAGGGAATATGCAGTCAGAGATACTTGGGAAAACTAGTTGAGCAGGATTGTTTGGCTGAAGTGTGTTTAGATCAATCAAGAATTTGCATGTTCTATAAACACCAGTCATTAATTTGCCTCTCTGAACAGAATGAGTTGATTTGGATGTGAGATATTCAGGCCCAGGTTCATCCCAGCTGTCTTGGGCACTGGGAGCTGGAGCAGAACACTCCTGGGAGGGGATTGAAAGAGGGGGAGATGCTTTTCCTTCTGCCTTAGTGGAAACCTAGGGGCAGCTGTGCCTCTGGCTGGGATTGTCCACTTCAGTCCTTAAAAGGAATGAGAAGGGCCCAAATCACAGTGCTGGGCTGTCAGGTGGTGTGTGCTGGGGGAGGCTGTGGAAATTCCATAGGCATGTGCACTGGCAGGTATCAGCAGGGATATGGAGGAGGATGTCTTGCCTCCTCCCAGCTGCAGTTGTGCCAAGTGATTCTTTGGCATTTACACATTATCAGATCAGTAAGACTTACGGATTAACTTTGGATTCTGCCTTCTTCCCAGTCTCATCAGCTAGTACGATGCTGAACGTACCTCTCCTGGTGTCTTTGTTCCACGTGATAATATCCACAAAGTAGTGATAAACTGAGGGGAGGGAGAGAACTAGTGTGGTTAGATCTGGCAGGCTCACTCTGCTGTTGAGCTTCTGTGTGCCCGTCTGGGAGTGGAGCTGCAGGTGGAGGATGGACATAACCCCTTCAAATTTCTCTCCAAAATCCTTTTCTCCTCCCTGCTCTCCATCCCTCCTAGCAGAGATTTTTTTAACAGAAACACTAAGAGGTGTCAGGAAAGCACTACAGAAAGGGTTATCCATGCAGGATGGCCTCTCTGTATGACTCTAAGCACACCCCCTTTAACACTTCGCCTTCCAGATTGCCTTTCCTTTTCTTTTCTTTCTCCTGTCCCATTCGGAACCCCTCCATTTTTGTTCTCAGCATCTGTCATTTGTAATCCCTATCATGGAGCACAATTCTTTGATCTGTAAGTCTGAATTCACTTGCTGACCAGCTCTGGAGCTCAGGCCATAATCCCTGCCCATGCCTTGCTATTTTGGTGATCACAGGGAGGAGGAGAAACCTCGGTGACACCCTTTTTTCCATTAATTCTCTCCCTTTCCCTGTACCTCTTGCTTTTCTCCAGGGGTAGCTTTTTCACCTGCACAGTCTCTCTTTGTCTCCCACCATTCCCACACACCTCTTCCTTTCACAAAAGAATGGTGTGTTGCTTTTAAACTCGGTTTGGGAACTTTTATATTTAATTTGCAAGTTCTCAACCAGTTTCCTAGCACTGTAAGCAAGTTGGCTTTCACAGCACCGGGCAGGATTGCAGATAAGGAATGTCATGGCAAAGTGCAGCTGGACACAGTTCTGACCAGCAGCCACTGGCATTGTTTCTAAAATGCTGGCTATGACCAAACCACCTCTGCTCAGCTGCTGCTGAAGGAGGCAATGCAAAAAGACAAATCGTCTCGGAAATCTCAGTCACTTACTGCAAAATGGCTCTTTGTCCCCTGTATCGAAAAACATCCTTGTCACTGGATGGCTCTGTTGTGTTAAATAGCTTTTCCACTCATGGGCATAATAACCTGCAGGTGACAGTTTGAAAATGAAACACAGCTACTGCACAGGTAGATGAGCAACTAAATGGCTGAAAATAAGCAAGTGTTTAAGAAATAGTGTATTGTTTGCCAGCTGCCAGGTCTCAGTGTGACACAAGCTCGAAACAAGCTCCTGTACTCTGCAGATTTAGGACTAAATATGCCTGGCTACTGTTCAGCACGTACTTCAAGGCTGATCTTCTTCCACACCTGCTATCCATGGTCAAGGAGGATTTCATTCAGTGCAGAATGCAAATCATCCCCTTGGCTTTGCCACTTCCTTTCTGGAAGTGTCAGGTGTTTTAGCATCAACCTTCCAGAGCTGGCAGCTTGATGCTGGGCTGTCACACCCAGGCTGGGATGCCTCTGTGGGTCCAGAATCCCCTTTGTTCACCCCTCTGCCATTCCTTTTAGAGAACAGAGAGGTTTGTGGTGCTGGGAATTTACTAGAAAATACTGTTTTAGCAAGAACATGCCCCTCTCTCAAACCCTGCAACTAAAGGACTTTAATTCATTGTTTCCATGACTGTAGTGTAAAGATCCCAAGTCTTGTTTTGGCTTTCCTAGTTCTGGATCCTTTACCTGTGAATTTTGTTCTAGATCACAATGTGATGTGATGGTACAAAGAACAGGGAGGTTTCTCAGACCTCTTTGAAGCCAAGGGGAGGCCTCAAAAACCTCAGTGGAAATAACTTCGATGATTTTGCAAAGCACTGTGTTGTGTTGGTCCTTTAGTGAAACATCACACAAGTTACAGTGATGACAGGAAGCTCTGTGTTCAGGATGGTCTGACATTCCCTGGATCCTTACCTAGGATGGGGCATGGCATAGGCCAGAAGGTTTCACAGCTGGTACATTTGCCATTCCTGTAATTCCTGTACGAGTCGCAGGGATAAGCTGTGATGTTGCAGCTCCGTGTCAGGGAGGACAGGAACAGGAAAACAGACCTCTGGTGGTCACATTTAAAGTACTGCAATCCTTAATCATACACAGGGAAGAAATATTTTGTTAGGAACCCTCACTCGTCAGGGAAACAGGATTAATGCCCACAGGACACAGCTGTGGACAGTCCCTGACCAGTCTGGACCCAGGGGATTGCACTGGGGAGCACTGGGCTGTGGCAAAACAGCAAGTGGGCACCAGCCTCCCCCTTTGACTGCACTCAGCTCTGCCTGTGTCTGGCTTGCTTTTCTTCTTGTATTTTTGGTTTTAAAAACATATTTGTTTGTATAGCTACTGCAGTTCCAGAGGATCCAAATATGAATCCAGTTCCATGTCAGGTGTTTTCCTCTCTGAGCTCAGGCCTGACAGCTGGATATTGCTTTTAGTTTTGCACATGACCTTCCATTTTGGTGTAAAAAAACTCTTTAGAAAGCCCAAACTAATAAAATGCCTTGTTGCATGAGGAGCAAAGTGAGTGAAGCCTCATATCCTAGGGATTTTTGGTTCAGGCTGTTTTCCTGTGTAGATTCTCTCAGGTATGATAAGGGTTGAGTTCACAAAGCTGCCTTTTCTTCTGTGAGGTATCTTTTTCACCCAGCTTTCATCAAACCAGTTCAGATGCCAGGCTGAAAGGAAAAAAAGCTTTCTTTGATTCAAGACTAGGCCTTTACCTTCCAGACTGCAGTGTTAGTCACTGCCAAGGAAGGTGCAAGATTTGGTCTAACTGCCTGCTCCACATTCATCTTGAACCCATTTTCTGGACAGGTTCTTGCCACTGCTTTTGTGTGTTCATAGTAATTGAAAACAAAAAATCCCATGGGTTTTTTGAATGCAGTCACAAAACAAAGGCACAAATCTACCTGATGGCTTTTTGCACAGAGAATTAATCCCACTTGCACTGTGACAGGGGCACAGAAAGGTCACCCTGACTCTCACGCACATGAGCTAAACCTCTGTCACATCAGTGCTGGGAAGAGGTTGCTGCTGTGGCTTTCCCAGAATATGGGTTTCATGTCTTTTCTAAGCAGTGATGATGTTTCTCTGGCTTCCTCCTCCTTTTCTGAGGAGAAAATGGAAACATTTTGTCAGGGTCTGTGCAGTTCAAGGCAGGATTAATTACCAGAAAATACTGTCAGTGGACAGCCCGGCTGGTCGGTCCCGCCGTTGGGGTAGAAGTCGATGTGGCCTAGTGCTTCTCTGTAACCTAGTCCTGATAAAAGGGAATAAATATTAGGGCAGGAATATTAATACCATCCATCTGTTTAGGGAGCAGGCCAGGCGGTTGTGACCCAGCTGGGTCATTTTAGTGATGGTATCAAATACCTAAAATAAGCCTGTGTGTCCAACAGTGCAAAATTTAGGTTTTTGTGTCACTGTGTGCAGGAGAAGAAAAGGGATGTGAAACCTGGGTGTTGCTGTGGTGCTGAGTTTGACTTCTTGGAAGGGCTGGGAGAAGCAATGAGGTGGGAAAGCCAGGTGCTAGGGGTAGGCTGCCCATGGGAGCGGAGCGGAGGGCTGGCATCACGTGGCTGGCCTGGCTGGTGGATCTGGGAAAGGATAGGGCTGAGGGAGAGTCCAGATTCATCCTAGAGGAAGGTTTAGCTCAGAGGAGGTGGGATGGACACTGGAAACATCATGCAGGGAGCCATGGGTTGGGGATAACTGATCTACTGTGCAAGGCACTGAGCTGTGGGACCGGCTTTGGAGATGCTGTGTGCTGGGATGCAGTCTGAGCCCGGGGTGGGATGTTAGTGTGGAACTGCTCTGGCAGGACTGTGTGCTGCAGGAGCTCCCACACGGGGCCCAGGTCCTTGTAATTCATGGGCCACCAGGCTGTAACTGCTATAATCCAGCAGCAGGTTTTGAAGTGTAAAGAAACCAGCAGCTCCCGAGGGAGTGCTGAGAACAGTGTGGGCAACAGAGCACCCCAGAGTCCTTCCCAGCACCAGTGAAGGATTCTGCTGTCCTGGGCCAAAGGAGCAAAGGTCCTGGCACTGCTGCCCACCACACCACTGCTTTCCCATGCTCCATCAGTCCCTGGGTTTCCTCGTGGAGCTGCAGAGCTGGAATGTCACGTACCGTCGGTGTCGGAATGAATGACGTCGACAAACTGTGCGTCGGTGGGGTCCAGCCTCTCACTGGGGGGGGTTCCCCGGTACAAGGGCCCCGCTGGGTCCAGGCCTGCAACACAAAGCCACGTGGATGGCACTGCCTCGTGCTGTGCTGGCCTTGAGGCCAAAGGACTGACGGGGGAAGGCTCACCCGTGATTCTTCCAAGTGCGCCACCAAACATCTGTCCCACAAAGCCGGAGATGTGTGCTCCCAGGCTCACTCCTATCATGTGCATGGAGTCAAGGGATGCTCCATGAATCTGAGATTTAAAAGTACTCATGGTCACAGATTTGAGGCACAGGAAAGGCATAAAAAATATCAGGAGGAGGAATGTAAAGGCATCTCGCTGTTTTCCCCACTTTTTCTCTTGGTGTGTTCCACTCTGTGTAAATATTCCCTCTTTGATAGTCCCACAGTGCAGCCAGCATCCCTCTTTGAGGCCCATACCTGATGAACACAATTCAGGCAGTGGCTGTATTTTCCTGGGGCACTGGAGACAGAAACTATTCATGGGCCCCAGGAGTAAAATTCCAGTTGGCCCACATGTGGTTTCTGCAAGGAATTAGCAGACACTATGATCTTAATGATCCAGTGTCTTCATTGCTTGTGCAACAGCTTAGGGGAACTGTGAACTGTAGCTGGTCCCCTTAAATTGATTTTTGGACGTACAGAAAGTGGAAGTAAAGTTTCTGTGTGTAGGAAAACATGTCTGTAGAGTTTTGTACCCAGAAATGGAGAGACAGAGTGTAAACTGAATATTGCGACAAAATACCATCGTACCAAGTCCAAGGGTACAACTTGGCACTGCAGGATAGCTGCAAAAATTAATGTATTCCTTTTAGGAGTTTCTATTCCCAGACATCCTGCTGGTTTTAAACACTTCCTTTGTGCCCTTTACATACTGTGCCTTAATGACTATATCATAGTGTGAACGTCCAACTTACCAGCATTTCATCAATAAGTTTCTTCAGAATCTCAGCAACTCTTTTGCACTTTCTGGAAGCATTATTGTAGATGAGGGTTGTTGCCCCCTGATTCCAGTCCACGAGGATGATGTTCATGTCCTCTGCAGAAAGCAGGAGATGCAGCAGGTCGGGGATCCAGACGGGGGCAGAGCCTGTGAACCGGTACCCGTGGACGATGAAGGTGGTTTTCTTGGTCACATTGAGGTACTCGGAGGTTGTTGAGTGGAGCTCCTCGGCACAGGTTGGGTTCTGCCTGGTGTAGAGCAGCAGCTTCACTTTCAGCTCTGTCCCTATCAAAGCGCTCCAGAAGCCGAGGGCTGTGAATGCAGGACATGTCTCCCCAGGATCTGAAAAGAGCACAGAGTGGCAAATGGAGTGTAGCCCCAGTGCATTTGCTTCCACCTGCCAGCCCTGCACAGGGGCAGGGACGTGTGTTGTGACATGTCTGAGCCAGGGCTGCTTCTCTCCTGTCTCCTCTCCTCATGTTCATGACTGCGGTTACCTTGGAATGTAGGTTTTCTTGCCATGTTGGAACAACGACAGCAAGTGCACCTTCTTGGATCAGCATTCCCTGAAACAAGGCAGTCCTGCTTCCACAGGCAGCTGGGAGATGGCATGGCCTCTCTCCAAAAATCCCAGTAGTGTGAGGAAGTGACTGACAAGCGGGATGGTTGCTGTGCTGGTTTGGGAGCACGCCCAGGTGCTCTGGACAGGCCCGAGGGTAAATGGGTGTCCTCGGGGCTGGTTTGTACCTCCAGCCTGGAGCTGCCCAGCCGCAGAGGATTTCCCGTGTGAGGGGCAGCTCAGTGCTTCATTTGTGTGTGCAGATGCACCCTGCTATTCCTGACTGCAAAATGGGCACCCTTGGGCTGCGTGGGATGTCACGGATGGTGCTGTGTACACAGCTGAAGAGTAACTGAATTGGGTGTAAGTGCTGCTCCATGGGATGGTCTGTGCCTTTGGAAAGCCTGTCTTTGTGCCCTGCTTTTCCAGCAGGGCACCAACCGAGCCTTTATTTCCCAGTACAACCTCCAACAGGGCACTGACAGGGAATGGAACAACTGTCTCCAGACAGACGCTGCTTACGAAGTTTAGTAGCCTCTTCCTGGCTCACAGTCCTTTCCCCCAAATCCTTTTAATCTTATTGAAGAACCTTGTGGGGGAGAGTGTCCCTCTCACACATATACCCTGGGCTGCAGCAATTTTTCAGGCTGCAATTCCTAGAGGAATCTTCCTGATCTTTGTTGCTTAAAAGGCTGTGCAGTGGGTAGAAGAGTTTAGAAAACCTGCAGCTGTAACCTAATTGTGCTCTAATAAATCTTCAATGCTCTGTGCATTTTAACTTCTATATGATGAAACTCTCACAGTTTCTATGAGCCACTTTCCCTTCTCTCCTCCTTTGGAAAGCAGGAGCATGAGAGTGATATAAATACTATGTGCCCAGCACATAAAACAATCTGCTCAGTTGCCATAGTTCTGCTAATTACTCTGTAGAAGCCCCAGGAGCTCCAGAAATAAAAGTTAATAGGCTAAAAGGATGTTGCAGTTAAATCCAACTGAATATTTTAAATTGCTACCATAAATTTTAACATCTGAAATCCATGGAGTCCTTACTGTATAAAGCCTATGGTACCATATGAACAGTGGGACAGGAGTGGTGGGAAATGAGCCCTCAGCCAGGCCCACTGAACGTGGGTTGAAACCAGGAGCCTTTGAATGGGGGGGTGTTCTGGCTCCTTAATGCTTCCCCCAGGGCTCCCAGGGGCAGGGTGGCTCTGGGCCCTACTCCCAAGAGGAAAGGTCACCTGGTGGCTGTCTCCTGGCCAGCCATTCTTACAGTGCCAAGGAGCTCCAGTGAAAGAGCAGCAGGAGTTCTCCTGTGGCACTGCTGTTGTGGAGATCTCAGAGGAATGGCAGAGAAAAGCTCACATTTCTGCTGATCTATGCCAGCTCACACAGTGAGACTCAGCAACTGTCCTCTAGGTGCTACTGCAGCATAAAAAAATACAACTATCTTGGTTTTACTAATAACTAGGCATTGTTTTAGTTATTGTATAGCAGTATTATATGGTGTTGTTAATCATCTTTACTGCCACTGAAGCTGTAGTAATAGAGGCAGAAATGCCAGGCAAGAATTACTTCTATATGGTGCAAGATTGCACTGATTGCTTAATTTGTGTCTGTATCTCCTGCCCTGTGCTGAGACTTGCCTAGAGGAGCAGTGTGTTTGTCATCAGAATAGCCTAAACCTCCTGGTACAGAGGAGCTTTCAAAGAGCTGGTCAGCATTTGCTGATACCTGACACGAATTGATTCTGGTTTGATTATTAAAATCAGATCAGGATTATAATATATAATATTATTACAGGGGGGAGAAAACCTGCTGGCTTCTCTTCTGGCAGGATGGTGGCCATCTCAGCCTCATCCTGACACATCAGGATGGCCAGTTATCCTGACTTTGCTCTTCCTTCCAATGAGCACAGTGACTCCTACCCAAATGGCTGGAAGTGTCTTTGAAACTCCCAGATGATTGGGGTAAGTGGCTTATTGAGATTAAGTCTGCAAACAAATAAGTGAGGTGGAAAGTTACACCCTGGCACTGTACTTAACTAACTTAACTTTCCCTCCAGGAAAGGTGAATGAATGTGGCAATTAACCCAGCATGCCATTAGCTCACCCCCAGCCCTGCCTTGGCCATTAGCTTGCTAGACAGACTCTGGCAATTCAAATTCTCCTGCTCAGTTTTCTGATATGTAAAATAGGGGCAAAACACTTGTCTGCTGGGCAAGGTGCTCTGAGGTTCCAGCACCTGTAGCAGGGGGCATAAAAATGTGTGAAATCCACGTCCCTGCCTGGGAGCTGGACATCTTTGGTCTTGAGCTTGAGATCAGCCTCCAAGGTGCTATTGCAGCAGGAGAGGCACCTTCAAAATAACCTGGTTCTGAACTTACATATATAAGTATATATCATGATAGAATCATAGAATGGTTTGAGTTGGAAGGGACCTCAAAGCTCATCCAGTGCCACCCCCTGCCATGGGCAGGGACACCTTCCACTGGCCCAGGTTGCTCCAAGCCCCGTCCAACCTGGCCTTGGACACTTCCAGGGCTGGGGCAGCCACAGCTGCTCTGGTCAACCTGTGCCAGGGCCTCCCCACCCTCACAGGGAAGAAGTTCTTCTAAATATGTTATCTAAACATACTCTCTTTCAGTTTGAATATGTATGTTCTGAAGTTACATACTCCCAGGTGGGAGTACTGTGGTCACAAGAACAGTCCCAGGCAGTGCTATCAAAGCCTGCATTCCCCTGGTCTCTCTCATTTCTTTCTTGGAGATGGTGTTTGGAGGCTTTTTCTTCCGTCTGTCCTGGATGCTGATCCTATGGACAGGCAGGGTTTGCCACTGTGGTGTTGGGGCTGTGGTCCTGAGCTGGCTGCATGAATAGAATAGCAGCCAAGTTTTTTTTACCTCCACCAGTCTGTCCTCTTGCAAAGGGAAGTTCCAACAGTTTTTTCACAGCAGTGGGTCAGTGGTCACTTGTCTCAGCTGTGGCCTTTGGGTCACAGAGGTGCTTCTCTGTCTGTCTGCAGGTTCTCTGGCACTGTGCCACCTTGCCTGGGCTCTGTACAGTGTGTTTCAACAGACTGCTCCTAACCATCGACAATAACTCTCCCCTTTCAGCAGACTTCACAACCATGACGTGAATCTCAGGAGTGTTGGTGAAGATTTCCATCACTTCTGCACAGAGTGTGCCCTCCACCTCTTAAACTGGTCCTCAATAGCTCCCTGGTTTCCTCCTGCCTTTTCACATAACTCTTTTTCCCCACTTCTTGTGGGTACATTTCCTACAGCGCATTAAACAAACTAAGCAAAACGTGACCCCGAGATTACTCCAGAGGACCCGATGAAATACAAGTTAGTATTTATAAGAATACTGGTTTTTTTAACCCTGTTTGTTTTCCCTACAAAGCAGAGAGCTGTAACTTGACTTGCTCCCATGTGTATGCTAACACAAGGCAGTACATTTGTTTATTGTTACACAGGTTGATTCTTGTAGGGCTGTGAGGATATCAAATGGAGCTTACTGTTCATAAATGGTAATTCATCCTTCGCCCCTGTCGTACACAACACCCCTGAAAAGAAATCATTATTCTCTGAAGATTTCCAATGACATTTTCAGTGCAGATGGATAGTACTTATATAAGAGAAATGTTTGCAAAGGGAGGAAAAGATAATAAAAAAAATACTTCTGGTTTTACATTTGGAACTCTTAGAACTGACTCCATCCATGTAACCAGTATAATTTGCTTTGCCGAAATAAATAATGTTAGTGAGAAACCCTACACAGTAACTGTAATGCAGAGGGCAGACACAGTCATGTTTCTGTAAAGCACAGTGTGTTATATTTGACAAAAAACATTCAAAACAAATGGTTGGTTTCTTACCTGTTTTCACCCCGTGCAAAAGGTAGATGAACACAACACACAGCCTCAGCATATGGACTTCCACATGGAGCTTCTATGGGTAAGAGACTTTAAGGATCCCACAATTTCTTTGGCATGTGTCTGCTGGCTCTGACAGCAACTTGCTCCCTTTTTTTTTTCTGCCTGTCCCAGTAGGTGTGGTGAAAGCAGGAAGTTACCAGCCAAGAAATGAAGACCAGTCTTTAGTTATACAACTGAAGCTTCTTCTTAAAAAGGTGGGGCACTTTCTATTCTAACAGGTTTCCTTAATTTAGACATAGTTTGTCCTGGGAGATGACTAATCAAAGACACAAATGGGTTGGTATCACTGCTGTAAGCAGCAATTTGACTACACTGTGTTGAAACTAAGGACATTATTGCCTGTTTGTCTTTTGCAAAGAATGTCAAGAGGATCGTAGGTGTCACTGCAAGTCTGATAAGCATCTGGGCAGGGCCAGTGCTTGGTTTCCCAGGGCCCTGCCTTTGGAAAGTTCATGATGATCCCTAATCTCCCATGTTCCTCCTGCTCTCTAGAGTCCCTTCTAACCCACAGAGCCCTGTCCCCTCAGGCAGGAGGCAGGTGCACGGCACTGTGTGTGACAAAGGGAAGGTACTTGGGGCAGTCTGGCTCTCCACTATCTGCTCCCAAGCATCTGCTGCCTTGGATGACACTCATACAACTGGCATTCCCACCACATTTTCTCGAAGACCTGCTGGAACATCATGAATTCAAGTAAGAAAGGCTTTTTCTTTCCTTGACAGATGGGAGGAAGAAGATAGCTAAGCAAAGACAACTGCCAGGGGCAGGAAAGGAAGTCTGACATTGAAGCTGGAAGATATAGTGGCAAAATTGGGAAGAAAAGGGTGGTTGGGAGCTTGAAAAGGGGTGAGAGAAGAGGGGAAGAGAGAGCAGGGATGGCTGCTGGATAGAAACTGGGTGGTAGCTTTGCCTGACGTTTTCTTAGCAAATTCTTCTAACTGTAGGCGAGGGAAAGGGAACCTGGGGAGGATCAGAACTCCCTCATTAAGCACAGGCTCTGCTTTTTCCTCCCGGTGATGATCCAACGAGGAGCTGAGCTATTACAGCTCCCAGCTGCATAGCTGGTTCTTTGGTCCATGCTGTGCAAACTAAGCTTTTTGACATTGCTAATTCTTGGGTTAATCCTTAACTCTTCCTGCTGCCTGTCTGCAGCTCCTTCCTGTTCAGACAAGTGTGTGCTGCTTGTCTGGTGCAGGCACGGATCACCCAGGCAAAAGCTGGGGTTTGTTATTTTGGAGAGGATAAACATTGAGAAAAGGCACTCAAAAACTTCTGTGGAGTCTGGAAGTCCAGGACAGTGCTTTTTCTGCTGCACTGGCAAAAGAATATAATTTAAACATTGTTTTCCTTCCAGTTCCTTTCTCACCCCCACCAGTAATCCTAAACTCTGTCAAAATATTTTCTCCTTAGCAAGAAGTTCTGCCAATGGTGAGACAGAATCAGTCCAACAGTGAAACACGAAGATGAACAGAAGGCTTTTACCTGTTGCAAAGGACATCTGTGAATCAGAGATAAAATGGGATAAATCAAGAGGGCCTTGCCTTTCTTCTCAGCACAAAAAGAGGTAACAACTTATTGCCTGAAGCTAAGCTCTACTTGTTTCTTTCCTTGGATTTCCATTTCCCTTCTGAGGTAGCTCATCCAAGTGCCTCTCATTTCAATAGGTTGGGACTGGCAATACCCTGGGACTGGCAGGCTCTTCCTTGGAACTCTCAATCATCCCTCTAAAGACCATGATTTTGAGTAACCACCATTTTAGCATAAATTAGACTGTCTGTTCATGGTGTGCGTGTTGGCAAACATTCCCAGGAGGTCAGCACAGGACATGCTCTCCACCTCCACCATCAGATCCTGAGATGAGGAGTTCAAGTAACCACCTGTGTTTACAGGTTACTTCCAGCTCTTGGATCTGTTGACCAACCTTTCACACCTGCCCCACACATCCTTCCTCAGCCACACACTAGTGGAAGATGGTAACAACTCACAGCTATTTGGGTTTCTACACTGAACTCTAGACAATGATCCCATTGCGAGCTTTGAAATCACTAACAACTCGAGACAGTAAAAACTACTTTTTAATCATGTGTAGAAAACACTGAAGATCAGAATTGGCACCAACTTCAGAAAAATTTAACAGAAAAAATGAAATAAATAAGTGAAACATTGTGCTCTTAGCTCTGGGTGTCAGAGAGCCTCTGCTATTTCACACTCATTACAGAAGCATTTTAAACTGGTCGCTGTGAGCAGAACCACTGCTGGAATCCAAATGTTTCAGGAATGCTGTTTCTTCCTTAGAGCAGCTTCTGACAACAGTGGTCAGCTGAAAAATATTTTCATGTGGCATTCATGCATCTGCTGCATGAAATCTCACTGATTCACTAGTTTCCCGTGGGTGGAACGTTTTCATGGAGATACTGGAGAGCCAAATCTGTCCACTTCATTTCTTGCTCTTTCACAGACTCGGTGGTGCCACCGTTGTCTTGCTCTGGTTCAGGGAGCTCATTCTGAGAACAAAATAGAGGTACAATGCATTCCACACAAAATATACTTCCTGAAAGCAGCAGGTTGTTAAGGCTTTGTGTGGATAAATAGAAACGAGACCAGAGGGTGCATCTGAACAATAAATATCATACATACTGATCCACTTAAAAATATTACTGGGCCCCGTTATGAACAATATTCTTTTCACATGAATATGGTGCTTAATCTGAAAGGTAAATTGGTTTTCCAGGACCCTGGGGCCTTGCTATACACTCAGACTGCACACACAGCGAAGGAGAATATATAGCAAATGCAAAGTAAGTAAATAACAGTGCAATGCAATTATTCCACTGCTTGTTTGCAATGCGCTGCTTCTGCTGTTGGCAAGAATACAGATACTGCAGTTATTATAGCTGTTATTAAGACAACTGGTTCTGTAACATGTTTCATTCCCATGGCAGGTGAGAAATCCTTCCTCTCTACGTGCTGGACTCAGGTGTGGCTGTGCTGGACCAACAGTAGAAGTCAGAACTCCCTTCTATTATTTGTTCTCTGTGTTGCTGTACTGCTGCAGTCACACTGAGCGAGTGCTATTCTGCCAGATACCATTTGGGCAGGAATTCTGAGTTCTAGATCTCTGGAAATCCCAGCATGAGCTAACTAAAACGTTTCTGTTTTGAAAACAGTGTACGATTCGAGCCCATTTGAGTTCCCAGGAATCTCTCAAGTGGGCACTGGAGCAAATGCTCAGGACAGGCTCAAAGAGCACTTCACAGCCATTCTGTTTGTTCCTGTACAGTGCTCCTGAGTAAGTCTCCTGTGAATTCGTGCTACTTTTCCCATGTGATCAGAGGCAATCTCATCTCTGGGAATCTTTATATCCACAGCCAGGCCTTTCTTTCTATTATTAGTTGGTGAGGCTTCCTGCTCTGGGGCTGCCATCTGTATGTGACTGTAAGTAGCCCAAGAGGTGGCTGTAAGGGAAGAAACAGTAATGTTTGGACTCAAGGTAAAGGCAAATGTCAGTAAGGAACCAGTTTATAATACTCAGCCTGCCTTATAAATGTTATCCCAAGCAATAGGGGGTTTGGGCTCTTTTATCTGACAATTACAGTTCTGCAAGATCCCTCCCTCAAACCCAGCTCTTGGCAGAAAAACGTGTGTGCTGTATATATGGATTTTGGGGTTGTGCAGCTGCTCCTTGTCCTCTCTGAAAAGCCAGTGGTGGAAAGGCTAAAGCTTGAGCCATGTCAGAATTTGGAAATGTGTCTATGCTGAAGGAGACCAACACCCCATGATCCCCACAACTGCCTTGTCAGTGCTAGCCAGGGTAAAGCTTGTGCACCAGAGAGAACAAGGAAAGGGAAAATCCTCAGCTACCTCTTGCTTCCCTGGAAGTTTCAAAGTAGCTAAGCGAAGGTTTCAGAGCGGGAGATCTGAAGCTTCAACTCTGGGCTTTGTGGGATCAGCAGTAGCTTTTCCCCCGCTGCCCCTCTCCCACCCTGCAGCTGTGCCCTGGATGAAAGGACAGCTGCCATGCCTTGGACATGGCACTGCAGGTGCCAGTGCATTCACTGCTGTCCTTGAACTGCCAACAGCAATGCTGGATCTGGAAAAGACTGACTGGAAACAGGTACGAAAATTTTTCAGCTTCTTTTAATGGAATTTCGGGAAGTGGAAATAAAGTGTAACCAAGACTGCAGCTGTCAGCGTGAGACTGATCATCTCTGTTCTCCAAACCAGAACTTCTCCCTGATGCCAAACCCAAAACGATGTGAAGGGGAGGGCACTCCAGTTCTGAGAAGATTCAATAACTGGTCAGGGGAAGGGGGACAGAAACATCCAAGTCCTCATGCACACAGGAGTGACTGGCATATATGGCAAGGAAAGAGTCAGATCCATCCCAGGAGCCCTTTGTACAAATCAGCTGCACCACAAGCAATACCCTGTGCTGTTTCTTGGAAGGGGCTGAGATAAACACAGCAGCCTTAACTCAGATTGATAAGCAGCAATTCACCTACCAGAGGGATAGCCACGTCCTCGTAGGGCAATTTATCTTCCCTCCACGCGTCATCGATCAAATCCAGGATCCTGCCATCCCTCTGCACCTCGCTGTCCATCCTCACAGCAGGTGAGTGCAGCTAAACCTGTGACACAAAGCAGATGCTGTTCCCAACAACATCCCCAGCCAAGGAGCTGCAGTTCGGACTCTGGGCTTGCTCTAGTTTGGATCTAATTCCTGTTAAGATTAAACTTGATTTTCCTAATCCACTCAAAAAGGGGTTATAACCACAGAAGAACTACTTCACCTGAAAAGAACATTATTAAAGTGATTTGCAGATTGATATGCATCAGAGACGAATATATAAAACCAGCAGGTTTTTATTAATGATATTTACATGTGTTTATATCTACTGACTGGCTTTTAGAAGCCTACTTTGAGTGAGTTTGAGCACCCCTGTAACTCTGCCAAGAGCCCTTTGCTGCCCTGAGCAGTGCTGTGCCTCACCCAGGGCTTCACGAGTCTGCGAGAGTCACAACAAAGGATTTCACGGCACCCAGAATCCTGCCCGAACCTGAAGTCCAGGAAACTGGTGAAACAGAAGAAAAACAAGACTTATCTTTCACCCCCGGCTACAAGAATCCCTCCGGGGTGTCTCACTGTACTCTGCCCTCCCTGAAGTGTCACGTCAGGGACTCGCCCCGGTGTGACCCTGCGGCTCGATCGTGCCGGGATAGGTGACTACAGGTATTTATTTTACACCAGACCAGGGTAGGTGACTACAGGTATTTATTTAAATACACCCCGCTGCACGGGGGCGGCGATGGGCACCGGGCTGAGCGGTCCCAGCCCCGGGGCCGTGCGATCCGCGCTGCTCCCGGCCGATACAGCCCCGTGTGCCCCGTATCCCCACTGTGTCCCTCTCCGGTGCCCCACCCGGTGTCCCCTCGGTACCCCCCCGAATATTCCCCCGGCGGCCCCGCAGTGTCCCCCGTGGTGCCCCCCCCCAGTGTCCGTCTCCGCAGACCCTAACCCCATGATCCCCTCGGCAGCCCCCTCAGTGTCCCCCAATGTCCCGTCCCGGCGTCCCCCCCGTGCCCTCCCATATACCCCCCGTGTGTCCCCCCGGTATTCCCCGCGATGTCCCCCCACGTCCCCGCAGTGTCCCCTGCCCGCCGTACCCTGCCCGTGTCCGGGCCCTGCCGTGCGCAGGCGCGGCTCCCGCGCAGGCGCAGTGCTGCCGGGCCGGGCCGGGCCGGGCCCGCCGTTAGGTGGGGAAAGGCGGGAGAAGGGAAGGAGGGAGGAAAGGGAGGGAAGGAAGGCAGAGAAGGTCGGCGGGTGCGGGGTGTTTGCGGGGAGGGAGGCGAGGGGAGTGGCGCTGGAAGGGCCCCGGGCAGCGAAACTTGCCGCGGCGGGTGCGGGGTAAACACCGCTAATGGGAGAGCGGGGAGGCTCCTGCTGGGGAGGAGCGGGAGCGCAGCGGGAATAGGGAATGCTCTGCCGGGGCCGGCGGCACTGCCCGGGCACGCTGGCCGCGGTCACTCCTGCAGTCACCTCACAGGCTTTAGCTGCGCCGGGGGAGGTTGAGGTCGGGCACTGGGAAGAAATTCTTCACGGGAAGGGCTGTCCAGCACTGGAAGGGTCTGCCCGGGGAGGTGGAGGAATCCCCACCCCTGGACGTGTTTAAGGAAGGACTGGACGTGGCACTCGGTGCTCTGGGCTGGGTGACAAAGTGATGTTCGGTCATAGCTTGGACTCGACGATCCTGGAGGTCTTTTCCAACCTGATTCTGTGATTCTTCCCCCGGCGACGGGTGGCGTGCACCGGGCTCCTGCCGCAGGTGGCATTCCGGCCCCCTGGCACGTCTCTGGCGGTGCTTTTGGGAGGTTATTGCTGCTTTTCTGTTCATTGTAAGCATATTCCCAGCAACACTTCGAAATTGCATCTTTCTGTGTTTTTAAATACAAAGTATTCCCAGTCTTTCCTTATGGGCACTATTCTTTAAAGTCCTCCTGTGTATTGTCTGGTTTTCTCCACTTGAGTCTACAACAGTTCTCTATCGAGTTGGGGTGATAAGCCTTGTTTATTTTTAAATGTTTTGGGGTTTGGTTTTTTTGTTTGTTTGTTGGTTTGGTTTTTTTCCAAATATTTCCATTTTCTTCACTTTTTCAGAAGTGACCAGCCAGCTGTCCTTGCTTCAGCTGTAGTTAATGAGGGAGATTGTCCTCTCTTGTGGTAGCTGTGGGGGTCTTTACTTCAGGTGCCTGTGATTTGCTGTGACTAAAGGCAACTTCTCTGGGCCTCTACAGTGGCACTATGCGACTTGCAAGCTCGAGAGGCCAAAATTTAATACTAAACAGTGAACCTGATGAAGCATAAACCAGGGTAGAAGTGTCTGATTTTAAGGCTTTCCTCCAAAACGTGGGTGAGGTGGCAGGTATGCAAAGCTGGCACATTCAGGTGTACTGTGGGGGCCCTGCTTAAGGGATGACAGAAGCAAGGGCGTGTCGTGCTAGGACAGGGCTAGGTTGGATATTAGGAAGGAATTCTTCCCTTTGAGGGTACTGAGGCCCTGGCACAGGTTGCCCAGAGAAGATGTGGTTGCTCCATCCCTGGAATTGTTGGATGGGGCTTGGAGCAACCTGGTCTAGTGGAAGATATCCCTGCCCATGGCAGGGAATGGAATAAGATGATTTTTAAGGTCCCTTCCAACCCAAACTGTTCTAGAATTCTATGCTGTCTCTCTCCTCATGTCTCTGCCCACTGAAAATTGATTCTGTGTAGGTGTGATTAGAATTGTTGAGAAGAGCTGCTACTGTTTGATGTCTGCTGTTGCCACCTGGAGAACTCTTGGAATGCTGTCAGCAGCTCAGGGGATGTGATCATCTGCTCTCCTCAGCACTCTGCCCTCAGCAGTACCATGAAGGTGTTGTGCATACTGATGGAGTTTTGTTAAGCACAGACAGGACCAAAGAGAGACAAAACATTATCAGAATAGGGATAGGATTTTTTTTCTGTCTATTTTCTGTATGAGTGTGATTTAAAACACAGCAGAACTCCCAAGGACAGGCTTTAATCCCTGGATGGTGTTCGAAGTGCTCTAGAAGAGGATAGAAGCTTCTTAGGGAAATGAAAACAGAGCTGAGCCTACATTTCTAAAGTCTCCCTTGCTCCCCTTTTGTTGATTGCTAAATGATGCCATATTAATCTTTGAGGAAGTTGTTGGAAGGATCCATCTTCAATACTTGAGACAGTGTATAGGTTTTGGAAAGAGGAAATGGTGTTAGTGCCTCCACAGGGTGAAACCAAAGTTTGTGTCCTCAGGATGAGTTTAACCATTTCTGTGCTAGAGAGCTGCAGTTTCATGGAGGAGCCACTGAAATAAATTCTGGCTTTTTGACTGTGGTTCCATGGTAACTTTTAATTCCCTGGTTTTGCCTTTAGTGTGAACCCTTCTTGCTTCACCAATATGTGAAATTTCTATGTGTGTGCACACGTACATGTTTTTGTGACTTTAAAAGGTGTGATTTTTAACTAAAATGATGTACTGCTGCTGTCAAGCTGTTCAACTTATTTTCATAATTTAAGACATAACTTAAGAGGAATTTTTAAGGAGTTCCTTTATTTGGCAGATATTTGGCTTACAAGTTCGTGAAGGTGACCATTGTTTTCCTCACCTGTAACTGCATGCTCATTGCAATTTTTTTAACTTCTTTGCTTTGTGGGCTTCTGCTTTTTCTGCAGTTGGGTGGAGAAGCAGCCTTGTTCGTGCATTGCCATGGGTGACCACTGCTTTCCTGTACTCCCCTAGCTGCTGAAGCAACCAGGATTTGGTGATGGAGGCTTTGCTGGAAGGAATGCAGAGAAATGAGCAGGGGAGGTGCGTATGCAACTGTACACAGCAGTCATTCAAAAGGATTTAAGTATTAACCTTCCCTCCTGTTCAGAATAAATCCTCAGGTTTCAGTGTGCAGTAGCCTTCACCTGGTGCAGAAGCAAAGTCACTGCCTGAGCTGGCTTTGCAATAAGCCCTGGACAGGTATTATGTTAGCAATTTAGTTTTACATCTTCCTGAAAACCTTCCACCTCGTTTGTTTTGGGTTTTTTTGTTGTTTTTTTTTTCTGGTTGTTTTAAACCCTTCTTGTGAATAAATATTTATTTTGTAGCAGCCGTGCAAGGTTAATGAGATGTGACTTTGTTATCTGTTTTTATTGAAAACATCTGATTATTTCCTGCTCATATTGAAACTGCAGAGTCCCATTCAGCTCTGAGGAATCCTTAATGCTCTGTCTGAGGTGAAAGGATGTAGACTTTTCGATCCCCGAGAGAGACTGTAGTGACAATAATGGAACAAAATGTTTTCTGTGTTAAACAGGCGTGAAGCAAAAGTCACTGATGCTGTTTTCCCAGTCATCCTTGAGAATGTGACTCAGATTTATTTGATACTGTATCTTCTTCAGAGAACTGGTTGCAAAAATCAAGTTTAGACTTAGCTACATGTTAGCAGATGCTGTGAAGGAAATGTTCCTGCTCTGCATAATAGCTGCTAATTTTTTGTTAACTCGCAGGACAGGGTGAGCTTCAAATATGACTGATTTTGGCTCCTTTAAGAAGTATTTCTTTCCCTATAGAAAAACTGCCAAGTTTTGCAGTGTGCACCCGCACAGGGAGAGCAGAGAAATTTCTATCCCTTAACCTATTGATTTCCATTTCTTTTCAGTTCTCCCTGTTTGACAAGCAAATTAAAGGGGTAAAGATCATTATGGAGTTCACCACCCTCTAGGGCTGTGTCTGGCAAGCCTTAATATTGTCCCTGGCCTAGCAGCTTGGGAAGTTTTAGAGGAGTTACTGGAATTGGCTTCAATAATTACTGCACCAAATTAGAAGTCTGGGCGTTGCTAGGGCACATGTGCTCCCTGATGGATTGCGAGGGTTGGATTCTTCATTATCATGTTGTCATCCAGCCCCCTCTGCTTCGAGGTTTGTCTGCATTTGTGATAAACTTCTGTTTTCAGGAGCTGAAAGCTCTGCTGTAAGATTCCTCTGGTGACTGAAGCTTGGTCTAAAATGCCTCTGCCTGGAGAGCAGTTAAGGCGAATACAAAATATGAATTAAACATGCTTTGGTTTACTTAGATAATGCATAGTCCTGGGGCAAAGGGACGAATGCCCAAGTGATGTGGCTTAGGGGGCATGGGTGGTATTGGGTCTAGGGTTGTACTTGATGGTCTTGGAGGTCTTTTCCAACCCTAATGATTCTGTGATTCTGTTTCTCTGCAAGCTGATTTGCAAAGAGTTCAAAGCCCTGCGTGTGCACGGTTGGTGCCTTGGTGCAAGTCAGTGTGTTCTCTGCCTTTGTTGGTTTGGGACCCGAGTCCCCTGTTGGGTGATGCTGCTTTTACCTCCAGGCTCCTTCCCTTCCAGCGGCGGGTTCCTGACCTCCTGCGAGGCCGAGCTGCAGGAGCTGATGAAGCAGATCGACATCATGGTGGCTCACAAGAAATCTGAGTGGGAAGGGCAGACACAGGCTTTGGAAGCTTGCCTGAGTGCTCGGGAGAAAGAGCTTTCCTCTGCCAGGGCTGCTCTGCAGGAAAAACAGAAGGAGGTACCTCCATTTCATACTGTTTTCTGTTTGGAGACAACCAGTGTGTTTCACCTGTTAGAATCAGGAAATTAGGAATAGAATTTACAGAGGGGCCTGTTGGAACAAGATGTCCAGTTCATAATTCCGTCGAAGTCAAATGATCAACTCCTCAAGGGCTGGTGGAATTCACAGATTGAATGCTCAGTTTCTAGACAGAACCCAGAGATGCTGTAGCAGCAATGGACAGCCCAGCAACCTGCAGTCATTGGTAAAAAACCCCCCAATTTCCTACCGTAAACTACACTAAGATAGTGCTGGGAGATTCTCCAAGGGCTGTTTTGTGCAGCTCAGGTTTTGTGGTCTTTAATTAAAGGCCTGGGGGAAGTGCAAAAAATTTCTGTATTGGTGGAGAAGTATCAGTAAGTGAAATTTTTGCACAAGATGTGGGCCATAAACTGCAGTTGAGCCACAGGATTTTCATTTGCAGGAGTGGTGATTTTTATCATATAGGTTATCATTGTTATTATCAATTGTGTTTTCTCAAAACACTTGAAATATTTCTTACCCTGAAAAAGTGAACATGGATTTCAAGACTGAACTGTAAAGTTTGGTTAAGTCACTACTGGAGTATATTCATGCTTTTGGTTTAGTCATGTGAGTTTTCTGTGGGGATTTCTTTTAATTTCACTTTGTCCTTTGGACCTGCAGTTATAAATGTGGGTACCCTGGGAGAAAAAAGGACAAAACTGAGTCACAGGAGCAGTTGAATCAGTGTAAGGGAGGTCTTCTCTGCATTTCAAAGCCCAAATTATTTCTTTCTCCCTCATCATTTGGAATTTCTTTTTTACCTGAGCATAGTTAGATAATGACAGGGCCAATCTCTCTCGGTAGGTAGCTTGAAATTGTAATGCATATTTGTGAAGAATTTGATGAAAATACTGATAGAAGTAGCCTTTTTGGCACAAGCCAAACCTGTCAGCTTCATCCCCAAAACTGAAAGCCAGAAACTGGCTCAAATAAAGAGAGCAGAACTGAAGCAGTTCTGGCCCCAGCCTACCAAAGACTTAGGCATAGATTTAATCTGATTCATAGTGAGGGACCCCATTGAAACATCCTAGTACTTACTAACCTAAAGTCTACTTCCACTGCTGTATTTATTTGCTTTTTAACTCTTGGTTCAGGTTGGCCTTTTGCGGCGCCGGGTCGAAGAGGTGGAAAAATCCAAGCAGGACATGGCTAGAGAGTATGAACAACAGCTGAAGACGTTCCAAGAGGAGGTGAGTTGCAAAAAGAGAGGTTTGGTTTTTAGTTCCCACTTGATGTACAGTGCAACAGGTGAAATACTTTGCATCATGGCTTTTGTTTAAATGCTGTGGTTTTAAACCTCCCCGTTCTCTCAGTGTTTATGTGCTTGCAAAAAAAAGAGCATTGAACGTAGACAAAGCGACGTTTTTGTGGTTCACTTGGCCAGTTGTTTGTGCTTCAGAGGAACTTGGTGATGAACAGAGAACTGCTGGAGTAGAAATGTGGAGTAGATGTTTTCATGTGCTGGAGATCTGCAGAAGTTTACTGCAAAAATGACCTGTGTCTGCCCATCCCAGTCACCACAGTGCTGGTTCTGGAGCTGCCGTGGGTACAAGGCAGCAGCAGTTTGCTCTTTCAGCATTTCTGAAATTCAGAAAGGGTGGAAGTGTAACTGCCTGGCTTGTGTGAGATCAAGAAATAACAGTGGTGTGTAGTCTCATCTTTTTGCCTCTATTTGAGTCTGATGATGTTGGTAAGGATTTTGTCCTCTCAAGGCACATTAGTCTTAATACACATAATAAAAACTAAGTATACTCAGAAAATACTGTTTGACAATAATTTCGGAACCTTCAACTCCCGCTCACCGCAAGGTGGTAGCTGTGCTGCGGGTGGTGTAACAGCATTCCAGGTTTAGGGCTGAACTCTTTGCCTGTCTCCACTTGCTTGCCAGTGGCAGGGAGTTAACTGGCCTGAGCAGCTCGGAGAGCACTGACCTGTTTTCTCTGGAGGGTTGGGCCTGGTTCCTGCTCACTCTAAGCCATAAGTGAAATTAATTTGGTAGTCTCTGCTCTGACGACAGAAGGCATCTGTCCTCATTTAAAACACCTCACTGTTCCATATGACTAACAGTCTTCATTCACTGGCTGCTCCCACTGGAATTGTGCATAGGCTGCAAAGCAAAGCTGAGGTACGCTGGCAGCTCTGCCTAAATTGCTAAGGCTGAAATACAGAGTGTGTTGTGGCCTAAATTGCAGTGTGTGGGTGTTTTACCCACACAGTATTAATGCTGATGACGTTGAGCTCCAATATTCCTCAGTCTTCTGTTCTTAGTACTGTTTGGGGAAATTATTTCTGTCTCTGTTTACCACCATTTGCAGTGCAATTACAGGTACAGTGTCTAACTCACTGAGACTGTAGAAAGAATAAACCTCTTATCTCCTGATGTGTTTGGCAAAAGATGTTGGTATTAACTTTAAGCCTGTACATCTGTCTGTTCCCGTTGAACACACCGAAGTACTGAATGCATTATGTCTTCAATCAAATATTTATTCTTCTCGTGGTCCTTCTGTTCATCCATGGGCGTAGCTTTCTCCATCAGTAAAATGGGAATGATACCTTCTGAAATTCCTGTGGCTATTTGGAAACTTTTTATTTAATAGTTGAGTAGAGGGGAGATCATCGGATGGAAAACTCTCTTCCAGTTGCAAGTGATTATTTGCACAGAGGGTCATTTAAATGTCAAGAGTTTTTTCCTCATTCCTGCTCCTGATATGACTCCAGCATCCTAGCAGCGGGCGTAGGAGTGATATTTTCTGTTGGCATTCTCCTCTCATTGTGAAATACATGGTGTATCTAAGCAGAAAATGACAGATGAAGTGGTGTTGTTATTATGGGTAATGGCAATTCTCAAATCTTCCTTCTCCCAGTAAGTGGGAGAGTTCCAGTTCCCACCTGTGCTGCACAAGTGTATTTTATCCACCCAGGAATCTGTCGCTGGGTGTGGTGTGGTGGGTGTGCTCCTCTGTGGGAGGAGATCAGCCACAGGTCCTGCCGGCTCTTCCTGTGGCTGGGAGCCACCTGTAGAGAGAGGGATGTGCTCTTGCTGCATTGACAGCTACATGTTAACCTCCATCTTATCATTTTAGTCATGCTTTAATCGTGGTAAGACAGAGGTTTAATTAAAGCTGCCGATGTCACGACTTCAGTGGCATCTTGCTCCTCTCACACTGCTCGGCCTGTTTTGCAATGCTGTTGGTATAATAGGCTCATTATCCCAATGGAAGCCTTCGCTTGTGAGGCCTTGATGAGGGGATTGTTTGTGTGAACTGTTCTGTGTGCCTTCTCTCAAAGGGCTCTGTAATTTCTGCCTTGGGGCCTTGAGCAAAGCTGTCTCTCTCACTGTCTCCTCGCAGTTGTCCCGGCTGAGGAGGAGCTATGAGAAGCTGCAGAAGAAAAAAGCAAGAGGAGGCAGAGGAGATGCTAACAAGGGACAAGAAGGAGATGAGTTTGAATTGAGCAGACTGACCAGGAAGCTGGAGGTATGTGATGAAAAAGCAAGTGCTGACCAGTTTGTATGTATTAACTGACTTACTGGTGACTGAGTTGTCAACTAGGAAGAGGACTGTGAATCCTGTTTAAGGAGTACTCTTCATCAACTCTCCAGGTGTAGCTCTTCTCAACTGCTTCTGTAATAAAGGCAATTTCCTGCACTGGAGCCTCTGAGTACACAGGATAAACCTTGATGTTGTTCTTAGACTAAATGGAAGGAAGAAGGTGCTGAAAGAATAATAAATTATGTGAATGGAATGAGTTCCAGTGTGGGGAGGTTGTATTCTCACTTTTTTTGAGGAGGAGGGAGCTACATGTCAAACTTCTTCTCAGCCCTCTCTTGTCTTTTAATCTTTCTGCTCTGCTTAGCTCAACCCCACTCAGTTTTCTCCTCCTGTACCCCAAAGATGTGGTAACACACACACCTGCCTGACACAGTGCCCAGTTTCTGGGGCAGAGATTAGCATTCAAGTTCTGTACTTCATTCTTGTCATCTCAGTGATTTCAATAGCAGCATGTTCTGGAAGCTGAAGCCAGTCTGAATTGTTAAACCCCTGACAGCAAACCCATGAAACCAGCCACGAATCTGTTGGCACTTAACATTTGTAAACAGCAATAATTGACACTGACGTTTTACCTCGGGAGGGGAGGGAATGCAGCGAGCACAGTGTGTGAGGGTTCTGTGCTGCTGAGCCGGTGCATCAGGTGACTGGCTAATGGTTTCCCTGCTGTGGGGAAAGGTGTGTGAGGATACGGTGGGAGAGAAGGCAAATGTGGATGTGAACTGGAAGGGGATGTGCTGCCCCTGCTGTCCTTGCAGGAGTTCCGACAGAAATCGCTCGAGTGGGAGAAGCAGCGCCTGCGGTACCAGCAGCAGGTGGCATCGCTGGAGGCTCAGCGCAAGGCTCTGGCAGAGCACTCCGAGCTCGTGCAGGTACAATTAACGTGCCCAAAGTTTCTGTTTTGTTTGTGCCAGCGGGTGGGAGGGAGGGAGGGAGGGAGGGAGAGGCTGATGAAATCTCCCAGGCTTCCATCCAGTTCAGGTTGCCATTGAAGTGACTTTTAATGTCCCGGTGGAATAAGGTTTACTTGTACAAGTGCTGTATGGAAAAAAGATCTGGAGTCTGTCAGCAGAGATTAGATAAACCTTGTGCAACTCTCCCTGACACCCCTCTGGTTAGCAGAGAAGACAGTAGGATGCATCTTTCCCTGGGAGGCAGAGACCACAGCATATGATACTTTAAAATAGCTGTTACATCATGTTATCTAGTTGAAAGCTGTGTACCTGCCAGCAGCTAAATATGTGCCTTGTGGGTCCAGCTCAGAGGGTGCTGCTGGAAAATATTCTTTCCCTACAACAGAGGCTTTAACAAAGTACTGAACTAACAGCATTTTTCAGCCCCCCTCCTTTTTTTTTTTTTTTTTTGCAGTCTCCTAAGGCAAGGCTGCTGTTCCTGCAAAGCTGATGGCTCAGGGAGGTAGTGGTGCTGCAGCAGAGCGAGATGAATTGACCTAGAGCACAGCTGTGAAGTCACACTGACACAATCACAGCAGACACTGATAAGAAGCTCTTGCTGGGGACTTTGCACTTAATGGGCTCCTGAGTTGCTCTTGAGTGGAAGCTCCTGCAAGGAGGGAGTCTGTGATGACAGGACTGAAGCTGGCTCTGACAGGGCCTTTGTGAGAGGCTGACACCAGTAGATCTGCAAATGCAGAGAGAGTCCTTGAGCAGAAGGTCTCGCTGCTCTGCTGTCTGTGTGTCGTTGATGGCTCAATTGTCTGAGCACAGATGTGTCCTTGGAGCGCGGGCTGGGACGCCGGGGCTCAGAGTTGCTCTTCCTGTGGTGCAGCAGAAAAACAGGAATTTGGGGAGGTTTTCCCGAAGCGGCGTAGGTGACTTAGGTACTGTGAACAGACTGCCTGGATCCTCAACTGCCTTGAAAAGCCCAGCATGGAAGGGCTACATTTTTGCCTTTGATGTTTCTGTATGTTTTGTGTGCTTGGTTGTCTTGCTGGCACAAAGTCGTGCTGAGATCCATGACCATGGAGTACTTCCCCTCTCTCCTTTAATCTGGCTTCCCCTCATCCCTTGCAGAGCAGCTTAGGGAAGCCTGGCATTCTTCTGCAGTTCTGAGCATCTTCTGTAACACCTGCAGCCTTAAAATCAGCAGGTGAAACCTGGAATTCTGTGCTGGCCTGCTGGCCTGTGGATGAAAATAAGAGACAGCTTAAATGTTTTCTTAATGCAGAAATAAATATTCAGGCAGTCTGGTACTTTGGTTTCTCGGGTGCAGAAAGGCTGTGCTTTACTCTTGCCCCTCCTGATTACCTTTTCTGTCATGACTATTCAATTAATAATGAAAGACTGTGATCAAAATTATACCATAGTCTTGCAAATGCACAGTTCCTATAGTATTCTAAGTTATGAGGCATTATGTGCCAGGCAATAAACCAAGGTACGTGGTGATTCTCAAGCTGGCAGGAATTGCTACTCTTAGAAATTGGGAGTATAAGACTACTCGAATATTTTGTTTCAGCCTTTAAAAATTCAAAGGTTCTATATGAAAAGGGAATATATGAAATGAATGTTCGTAGAAGCTTATGTGAGAGCTGGCTTGTTAAATTTCACCAGCTAGCTGTGTGGAAAGAAATGCTATGAAATAAGGTATTGTGCCTATAAATGATAGAGCATGTATTGTCTGCTAGTCATAGGTTCCTTGCAACTTTTTTGTCTACATTAAAACAATGAAACATTCAAAGTGAGCATTCTCCCAGGCTGCTGGAACCACGTATTTAGTGCAGAGAGCAGAGCAAATTGGCTGTTACCCAGTTTGGTTTTGGGGCTGTTTGGTGGTTGTGGGTTTTCCATTGTGCACCCAGAGCTGCTTTCTGTCCTGGTGTGGAATTAACAGGGATTAACGGTTGGGTAACCTCTGGTTTGTGCATGGTACTTACAAACCTCCTCACCTGCAGCCGTTTGTCCTGGTCTAGCCTTGGGTTCATGAGCCAAAAACAGCAGGTGGCTTTGTTCTTAGTTCATACTCGTGCAGCTGGAGCGCTTTGAGATCCTCATTTCTCAGATTCTCTTTGAACCCCTTTTGGAATCAGAGGGCCCCTTCTTTTTTTCATTTTCTTATTTTTATTCTGTTTGCCTTCAGAAGTGTTACCCATGGTGTAACCCTGGGGCAGCGCTTTCCCTGCTTCCCTGGAAGGTCACGTTGCGTACTTTAGAATGTGGCTCAGTACACCAAGAAATCAGTAGTTGTGTTGAATGTGGTTTGCTACACTGTGTTTTCTGTGATTTACCTTTAATGCACACCAACTGCTGTTGGCAGACCCAGCTTGCCAATCGGAAGCAGATCCTGGACTCGGTGGAGCTGGCCAGCCGCTCGGAAATCCAGCACTTAACCAGCAAGCTGGAGAGGGCCAATGACACCATCAGTGCCAACGAGCTGGAGGTGGAGAGGCTGAACATGAGAGTGGATGACCTGAGCGAGAACAACCACCAGATTCTGGCAGATCAGCAGAGAGTGCAAGAGGAATTAAGGCAGTCCAAGAAAATGGTAGAGGTCAGTGGAGGAGCTGTTATGAAACTGGGTCTAAAGCAGTGCTGGTGAGAAGTAGTGGGAAGGCTTTTAATCCCAGAGCTTTCGTCTCTTTCTAGAGCCTTTGTAAAGTTCCTGATTGGCCTCAAAACTGATCTTGTACCCCTGTGCTGCTCTGCAGTATTTCCAAAGGTCCTAAAAAATTACAGCAAACAGATTTGGTCCACCTTGCAACAGTCATTCCTTCTCCCTCCTGTGCAGGTGCTGCAGGATGAGAAGAGGGAACTGAAAGCCACCTTGCAGTCTCAAGAGGATTTCATTGACAGCTCCAAGCTGCAGCAGGAACAGTTACAGAAAGAGCTGGCCAGGATGACTGAAACTCTTCACACAAAGGAATTCCTCATCAGGTAGCATCTGGACCTCACTGGTACTTAGGCTCTTGAATCCAGATCTACGTTCCGGGTTCTCCCTGGAATGAGGACAGTAGCAGCATTTTCACGCAGCTGGATCTGTGTTGGTTGTGTCTAGAGTGGTGTGCTGTAGTTTCTCACAAGTGCTGCCTTGCAGTGTTTGCCAAATTACATTGCTCTTGAAATCAGCTGATGATCAGTGAAGAGTGTGGAAGGAACCCGATTTCCCCTCAGCTGGGTTTCTGGAGGCAGCACAGGGCTTTTGAAGTTGTTTTCCTCAGGCATTTTCAGTCAAGTGCTGGAGGCTGTTCAGGGTTGATAACGTGCTTATTAACATAACTGAAAGTTCTCTCTGATTTAATGATGTCAGACTGGGGCCTTGGTGAGGTAACTACATCTGTGACAAAATCATCTTGGCCTTCCCCTTCTGCACTGCCAACGTGCAGAAGCTGTCGGGTTCTGGTGGCTGTGTCAGAAGGCTTGGGTGTTGCTCACCTACCAGCCAGACTGTGTCTGTCAGGAAGGCCAACATCAAACTAAAATGTAGTCTTTTTCAGTCAGCATGAACTCAGGCAGGGGCTGTCACCCAGCTGTGTGTTTGCTTCCTCACCTGCTGCTGGGCTCTGTATTTTTGCAGAGAATTCCAAGAAAACAGTGGTCGTGTTCCCTGTATCAGCAAACTCAGATGTGATGTTTCTGTGCTGAGACTGAAGTTGAGGTTTCTCCTTAGGGCCCTGGAGGAACGCTTGCAAGGGAAGCAGTTGTCCTCTCCAGAGCTGGAGCACGTGCTGCTGCAGCTGGATGCTGCCCAAAAGAAGGAACAGCACTTGCAGTCGGAGGTGACTCGTCTGGAGAACAGGTAGCCCACTGCTTGCTCCCCCTGGAAGTGCAATTAATCTTGAATAATAATACAGCACCTAATTGTATTCATCGAGTTAACCGGTCCCACTGATTTTTGTAGGCTTGTTTTAAATATCAAAGGGCTAAAGAAATCAAGTGCTATTCATTCTGCAGTGTAATAGTGAGACTGTTTTGCTAATTGGTTGGCTGCTTTTCACTGCACACTGTGGGTGTTCTCAGTGTTCCAGCTTGCTTAGGCTGAGCACCTTCCCACTAATAGGTTAAGGAGCCTTTGTTAGGCAGCTGGTAAGAACCAGATCGAGACTTTTCATGAGATAAGAGTTATAAACAGGTCTGCCCGGAGAGATTGTGGACTGCCCATTCCTGGAGGTGTTCAACACCAGGCTGGGTGGGGGTTGGAGCAACAACCAGGTCTCATGGAAGGTGTCCCTGCCCTTGGCAGGGGGATGGAACGAGATGAGCTTTGAGGTCCCTCCCAACCCAAACCATCCTGTGATTCTGTGATTCCTTTCTGAGTTTGTGGTTTTCAGATTCATGTTTGCATGGGAAGTTTGTAATCTTAGTATGGTAAAGGAATAAACAAGAAACAGCTATCATCTGTTAGGTTGGCTTCCTGATCTCTTTTGAAATGATTTTGGAAGGCAAACCCAAAGGATTGGTAAGGAGCTTTGGGTTGAGTCCTGTTTCTATTGCGATGGATGTAAGAGACTGCTTGGAAGATCAGAGTTTCTCTGTGACCATTTCCCCCTCCTTGGGGTATTCTAATCTGTCCTTTTACATTTTCACCCAGCCTGGTGTCTTCAAATGCCAGGTGTGTGCAGCTGAGGGAGGAGCTGGGTGAGAATATCAAAGAGCTGCAGTCCATGGTAGACCACCAGACTGAGTCAAAGGCAGAGATTAAAAAGGTAACGTGACTTTGTTCCTGGGGGTTGGGAAGGCACTGGAGGAGTGAGCTGATCCCACGTGTGCCACGTGCACAGGCAGCACAGTTCCAAGGGGACCAAGGGCTGGGGTGCTGTGGAGGCAGGGATGTGCTGAAGGTAAGGAGCACACCTGACAGGAGGAGTTGAGAGGATGTGTTTGCAGGTGTCTGAACTTGGCTTTGTGAGCATCTCCCAGGCCTACCCTACATCTCACAATACTTCTGTACACTGTGAAAATACCTGAATTAGTGCTGGAGGGACAAATATGCCAAGAAATTAGGGTCTGGAATCACGAGTTTAAGCCTAATACAGGCTCCCAACAGGATGAAGAGCAGAGAGGGAATGAGTTTGCTGTGATATGTCCTATCACACTAGATACAGGGCTTCAAGTGTGTTCTAGTCCATATGTGAATTAGGGAGTTTGTTTCAGGCTTGGTACCTGGACGTGAAGTCAGGGGCTGGGAGGATGGAGCTGCTCACCTGCACGAGGGCCTCACCCCAGTGCTTGAGCACCCAAGGGGAACAAGCCCTCCACAAGGCTTGACTTTAAATAATGGTCTGGATCAGCTGGTGTGAGAGCTTTCACTGCAGCCTGGTAGAGTGGAAACCTCATTGGACTTGAGTGAAAAACATCACTTGTGTGGAAATCCTTCATCCTTTATTCTGAATGTGTAGAGGTGCAGATCTTGCCAGAGATGTGTGCTTGGTTACACATCTAAACAGCCACACAGTAAATGAATCTCCCACAGGCTGCTGGGGAGGAGAGAGAGATTTATGATGGCTGTTTCTATTTTATATACTTGGGAGGCATCGAGGTGACATGGAGATAAATCACCATGTGTACAGTATTTACATGGCTAGGCAGAGATCATCTGGTTCAATTTTCTAAAATGCTTGTAATACTCAGAAAAATCCTACATGTTTGGGTGGTTAATATTTTTGACTAATGAAATGGAATCCTGGGGAAGAAATTGTGCTGCTGTTGTTCTTTTGTGTCACTGAATAAATATACAGTGTGCCTACCAGAATACTGTATGCAGTGCAGGTCTACCACCTCAAAAAAGGATTGCATAAACCAAGATAAGGTATGGAAAAAGATGACCCAAAGGATGGAGTGTTTTTTATACAAGGAACAGCTGAATGGAATAGGACTTAGCAAACTGGAAAAGAGATGAGATTGAACAGACTAAAAATAAAATCATGCCTGTCATGTGGAAAGTAAATAGGGAATGATTATTGTCTCATAATGCAGAGACTAGTGGTCATCACATGTAGTTATGAAAACAAAGAGATGTATTTTTACCCTGTGCATAGCTGGCTGGTGGAAGTTTGCCATGAGTAGCTCTAGTTGCTACAAGCTAATATCGATTCAGAAGACTTAGGACAAATTAATTCCTGGAAGAAAAATCTGGCTTGAGCTATTTAAAGTTGCCATCCTTAAATGGTATCTTTAAATATCTCAGGAAGGCAGAGTGGCAAATTGCAAGGTTATATTATCCAAGTGTTACTGTGCTTCCACAGTGATGGTGGACCTTTGGCTCTGTGGTGTTGGTCACCAAGGTCCAGTGGTGAGTTAAAGAGACTGTAATTTGATGAATTATGGATCTTCCAAAGTGCTTCACAGCATGTAACTCCTGTCCTGTCCCAGTTGGCAGTTTATGGTGTGGGAAAGGACTGGGATGAGGTGGCTTTCAATCAAGAAGGACAGACATGCACAGAGGGCTTGTTACACAGAGCCTTTTGTTTTCCAGTACTGAGATTTCACATTGTTGTGTGCGATACTTCGCTTTCTTTGCTGAAACATCTTCTAAAAGCTCATGGGTGGTGTGTGCATGTCTCCCTCCAGCTGAAAGAGCAGCTCTCTCACGCTGAACAAACACACAGCAGTGAGCTGGAAGGGATGAAAAGGGAGATCTCCAGGCTGACACAGGAGCTGCACCAGCGGGACATCACCATTGCATCGGCAAGTGACTCCACGTCAGACCTGGAACAGCAGCTGAGGGCGGAGGTTGAAAGAGCAGAGAGGAAAGCAGCGGAGCACAGGGTAAAAAAGGCAGAACACTCTCATGCTGTCTCTTTAAGGGATCTGAAGGCTTGGAATACCATCCTGCTTTTTAGTTATGTTCATAGTTTCCTTCTCTCTTTAGCCTTTGAACAAAGAGTTTGAGACCTTTCTGATGGAATCTTCTAATCCGTGGTGTTCACTGGATCTGTCTTGCTGCTGCTTTTCAAACCAGTAACTGATAGTCCCACAGAATTCTTTGGAATCCCAAAGAATTCTTTGGAATCCCACAGAACTCACGCTGATTGGGCCTGGATGCATGACATCTTTGGAAGCTCAAGAAAATGACTGTGCATGGTTATTTTTATGGCCTTCTCTGTAGGGTCCCTGCACAGCTAACGGCCCAAACCTTGCTCTGTGCTTGAATTTGAGGGTGGAAAATGCTTGGAGGGTGTCGTGGGTATGTGCTCTCTTCTTTTTCTAAGCTTGTTGTTTGCCCCTGTCTCCTCAGGTAGTTCTGGTCCAGCTGGAAACCTTGAGGTTGGAAAACCGTCATCTCTCAGAGAAGCTGGAAAAAACCAAGTGTGGTGTGCTGGAGGTATGCATTGAGAACCAGGAAATGGGAAGGGGCTGGTGGTGTATGTTCCCACCCTGGAGCAGTCAGAGTCTTTGCCCAGGCCTCTCAAAATGTGTGGTAGAGTTCAGTGAACTTAAAACCCGAGCAAAAGGGACAATTTGTGAGGAAAGAAGGTGCAGAAATAATGAGTGTTTGTTCAGCCAGAGAGTGGTGAGAAGAACTGCAGGAACAGCCGTCATCTGTTTCTTCTCCATGGGCTCTGGCCCATGGCTTGTAGTACATTTTATTACACTTCCATTTTATGCCAGTTTACCTCAAACCTCTCATTCTGAATCTGTGATGTCCTTTTGGCCTGTCCCAGAGCTGTAACTGCTCTGGTCCTTGAAATAACTGGGGAGAGAACATGTTCTCCCCTGGTGAGGAGCTGTTCAGCAGGGCTGGCCCTGGCAGTCCAAGGGCAGATTGCAGCCTGGGAATATGGGCTGGATGCCTTGGGATAGTGCACCAGGAAGGGGCCCTGTGGTGGGCTGCTGCTGCTGTGGCACTCCTGAGATTTGGTGAGGCCCTCTTGGCCAGAGGGGAGAAGGGGAGCCTGCATGGAAAAGGTGCAGCCTTGACAGGAATAATACCTTGGAGTTGGTTCATTTTAGTGGCTGCAATAAGGAAGAAATGGTTGGTTTACAAGTTCTGTCTCACCTAAAGCAGAATGGATGCTTCCCAGGGGGCAAGGACTGGATTCAGACAGCTGACAACCTAATGGGAATATAGCAGAGCTTTTATCCTGTCAGATCTGTGGGAAGGAAATACTTTGCTCTACTATTAGTTTGGGGTGATTGTCAAATGTGCCAAGTTCTTGGGAGGGTGTTGAACAGAAGCTTGTGGCTGTTGAGATGGAGAAAAAGCAGAGCTTTCCAGAGGGCTGATATGAAACCGAATAACCTGAGGCCCATTACTTCTGCTTGAAAAGTTCCTGGTGTCTTTTGCCTGCGTGACTTCCCAAAAACTTGGTAGCAGGGTGCAAAGTAAGAAACCTGCTTTAAAAAAAAAAAAGCTCCACAGACCCATGAAACAGGAGCTGCTGATCTTGGCCAGGTGGTCCTAATGCACATTTGGAAAGTCCTTAGATACAGCCGTGATGACAATGAATGAAGCATCTAAATTTAATAGCACTGGCAAAAAGGAAGTGGGAAGAAGCAAGTTGTTCAGAGTTTCAAAAAGAAAGGCCAGGTTGAAATACAGGTGAACTATTCTTGGTCCTTATTTTCCTGTTTTCAAAAGCATTCAGTGGTGAGAGACTTGCTTTCCCAGGTGGATCAGCACAGCCTGTCTGGATGCAGACCCAGTGAGGCATATATAACTGATTTTCCCTCAGGAATGCCTGGAAAGCTTTGCCAGTCAAAATCGAGGTTAGAGGATGGGCCTTAAGGAATCTCTTGCTGGCCTTTGCTCTGGGTCTGACTGTGGTGTCCTGCAAACCAGAACTTTTGACTTCAGCCCTTCTCGGTCTGTTAGGGAAAAGATGTGACCCTGAGAGCCCTCAGGGAAGACTGTGCTGTCGAGCTGCACAAGCTGAAGTCCGAGAACCAGCAGCTGCGGAAGGACCTCGCGGAGACCAGGGCGAAGCTGGAGGTCAGTGCGTGGCTCTGCCCGGATGAACCTCAGGGCACTGCCCAGCAGGAGCCAGGCAAAGAGCCCCAGGCCAGGGCTGTGCAGCACAGGTGAGTGTGGCACGACCCCGAGCGTGGAGGAGAGCAGAGGGTGTGGGGATGTGTGGGTTTTAACGACGTACTGTGTGTGTAGTGTCTCTCTCCAGCACATCGTGCGTCTGGGAGAACACAAGGACTGTTTGGGAATCTGCCTTTGTGCTTTCAGCAGTGCAATAGCTTCAAGTCCCAGCTGGTTTGTGTTCTGCAGAGCCAGCAGTGTTTGTCTTTTGTCTGCCTTTGCCTCTCTCTCTGATTGAGCAGCAGTCTGTGCTTCTTTTGGTGACAGGATTAGATGTGGCCCAGGCAGCTGCGTTCCTTTCTGTTGCAGTTTTAGGATGTACAGGCTGTAGTTTTTGGTATCTACAGTAGCAGAAGAGGGAGAGAGAATTCCCTAGGGACTGGATGTGCATCTGGAAGTGCTGTGGAAACAAGTTTGGATTGCCAGGGCTGTTAGTAACATCTCTGTTAATTGTTACCTCTGTGTGAGTTTTTGCTGGAGTTCAGCTAAGAGGCAAACTCAGTTCTGTGCTCAAACCTGCCTTCCAGGACAGCTCGGGAAGCACAGCACATGCAAGATGAACAAGCAGCCAGGATACATCTCCAGCCTGATGGGACTGCTCAGCATCATCGTGGGGAGCCCCAGAAATGTGGGGCTGCTGAAACGGGACCTGTGCCCCCCGAGATGGGTGAGCCACCCTCCCAGACCAGCAGGAAGAACTGCCAGGAGTCACCTGCCCTGCTGGGAGCAGAGCCTTTGCTCCATGTGGTGGATGGGAACAAAGATTTTGCAGATGAAGCATCTAAGCAGCCTGTCTCGAATCATCAGAGAGAATCTGTGCCTTTGGTAAGCAGTTGTACAGGAGCTGGTTGCTATTCAACAGCTGAAAATAGACCTGGGTTCTCATCTGGCAAAAGGAGACAGGTTTTTGACTGCATGACTTGGCTGCATGGTGTGCATAAAACAAACATTAAACAGGGAGGGACAACCACTGCTGGATGGTTACAGTTGGCCAGTGGCATCCATGTGGTGGCTCCTCAGAACTCCCTTGGGGAAAGGCTTTGTGTTTGTGTTGTTGCTCAGCTAATTCCAGGAGCATGTGGTTCTCTCCATGCTGGTGCTGTACCTCAGTGTGTACCACGACCTGCTCGTGTCCCCTCTGAATTCTGCCTCAGCCTTTGGCCTGGCTCTTTAGCAGTGGCTCAGAGTGGACGTGGAGTGCTGAGTGTTTCAGTGTTTCACAGTCTCTGAGTGACTGGTTGCTGCACATCTGTAAAGCACAGGGTGAGTTTGACCCCTCTGAGTGGGGCTGCAGCAGTCAGCACACTGAACTTAAAGTTGCTTATCCTAGCTGATGGGAAAGTGAAATCCCTGCTTCACTGCACAAGGGGAGGCTGCTATTTTCCCCAGTTGCTGATCACACTTTTTTAGTAGGGAGCAGTGTTGGCAGTTTCTCTGTCCTTTTACCTCAGCTCAGTTGCTGGAGCACTTGCCCAAGATACAGGAAATTTGGACTGAATCACTTCTTCCTGTAGTAATTCAGGGAGGGGAGAATGCTGAGTACTGGTCCTTGCTCCAGATGTTTGCCCTAGCAGTGTTCAGAACATTTCCTCCTCTGTTTGTGTGTTGTTAGCAGTGACAACAGCTATTTTTGTTTTGTGGGGAGCCCAGAGAAGAGGCTCTAAGGCTGATGCACAGATAAGTGGAGGCTTGTAAGGTCTGTAAATCTTGATGAGATTTACTTGACACTTGATTGTTTCAAGACTAGAGTAGTTAGTGGGCATGTCCAAAAAGCAATATTGGGAGCTCAGGGAACTGTAATATTCTAAATGGAAACTCCTCAGGTTGCAGTATTGGAGCTGAAGTGTGAACAGTTCCACTTCAGGGTCTGAGAAGCTCTAGGTCTTGAAGTTTTGTAGAAGAGGACATGCTGCTTTTTGTTTTGAGAGGTAGAAATAAGCTTTCTAAGGAAATGCAGATATTTTTCCTGGTGTTGACTGGGACTCCCTGCTCATGGTCAGGTCCAGGGTCTTTAAATCAGTTCATTTAACATCAGGAGAGGAGAAATTCTTGTCAGTAGGCAGTAGTGGGGTGGGAGAGATTTGCCTGTTATCTGCAGCCTTTTTCTGCTTCCCTTTGTTCCTGGCTGTTGCTAAAAGACCTGAAAACCACAAGACTCCAGGATTTGGAAATAACCACTAGCTTTCTCTTGCCAAGACAATGAGGCAAATTATCTGTAATGGAAAGCAGCCCCTTAGTAACCTTATATATCACATGCCAACCTCTGTGCAGGAGGCTTCTCTTCATCAACTTGTACATTAAGCCTGGTTTACAATGTTGTTTTTGTAAGTTAATAACTTGTGGTAAGTGATGTGAGGAGCAGGAATAGTTCTTGACTGTAGAGGAAAGAATCTGGTGTAGTTTGTTGACCATTGCTGGCTGGACTGAGGTGCTTTTCCCTGAGCCGTGAGAGGAGTTTGGTCTGTACTTGCCTGTGGGATTATACCAGAAGCCCATTATTTCAAGGAAGAACAGGAGGTATATAAAACACTGCAGTGCTGGCCCAGTCTGGCAGTGCTTTCCCTTCCCTGGAGCCCAAACTCTGAGGTGGTGCTGCTCACTGGGATTTTCATGGAGATGAGAAGCAGGATGTAAACCTCGAGGTGCACTAACGCCCAGGAGAAGACCCTGGGTATGCTGTAGTGACCTTCTTTAGCCCTGATTCTTTAGTACTGATTTTTTGGCAATCTTGGCTTGTTGAAAGCAATGGCTGTTGGCTGGACATGTTGGCTGTTGGGAGGGACATGACCTGTGATACAGGTGTGAGACCTGAGTGCTTATTCTGCCCAATAAGGTGGAAGTGACCCAAGAGCCCTTCAGGAGCGTGTTCAGTTGTGTGGTTTGCAGGTCAGTGGTGTTTCTGGCTGAAACTTGGAATGAAGGAATACCTGATATCCCTTTGTTTCCCTTTAGTGCCCCTTGCCTACAGCTTCTGTTGGATCAATAGCTGCAAGATACCTGGAAGAGGAAGAAGTGAGATCCCAGCACATCCTGGAATGTCTGAACGCTCACATTGAGGAACTGAAAAAAGAGAGTGCAAAGATTGTGAGACGGTTTGAACACCAGGAGTGATGTTTCTTGTGGAATCGGAATGCTGGAATATGTGGTTCCAGACTGTGACTGGGGTGGTGCCTATAAATCACTTGCCATCAGAATTTGAGAGGCTGTGTCTCCCACTTGGAGCTGAATCAGCAGGATGGGAGCTGAGGGAAAGGAACTCCTCTCTAACATGTTTGTTCTGATGAAAGGTGTTACACCACAAACATTTTAGTCAGCTTGGTAGGTCAGAGACCTGCATCAGAGCTCACAAAGACTTTGGTGTTTTTAAGAAGCAAACCACTTGCTAATTTTTATGTAAAGTATTTAAAGTATATTTTATACATGTAAAAGCACTGAAATAAACCAGAATGACAAACACCTTTTTTTCTTGTTCATGCAAATGCACAAAGTGAATCTCTGCTGGCTTATCTTGCCTTCTCATCTGGAACTTGGATCAACACCTTTTCCATCACAGCATAGCTGTGTTCTTCAAGGAACAAGGAATATAATTCCTCTTTCCTTTAGGCTACCTCCATTTTCTCCAGTTAATTTGCCCTTAGTGCAGTTTTTTTAGTATTTCCTGGTTCATGCAACTTCTGCTCTTTACTGTCTGTGTGGTATCTGGTGTCTTTATCTTGCCATGCACGGTGCTTGAAGTGCTGCAAAATAGCTGAGGAATGAATGGCTGAATTCTGGTTGTGGTCATGGCTCTTGGAAAAGAGAGTAGTTGGAATGGGCAATGACACTGGATGGGAGGAGAACCCACGAACAGGTGAGGTTCATCCACAGAGCAGCTGCTGTGTGAGCTGGTGTCAGCCTGGTTGGAATCTGGGCAGTCCAGTTGAACTGCTGCATTAAAATGCATCTGTGACCTCTCTTTGTGAATATATTCGGTCTTTCCTTGAGGAAGGTAAGCTATTAATGAGTGAACGGAACTTATTTCTTAAGAACTTGCTTTCTTCCAGGGGCTCTCTGCAGTTCTCCTGTGTCTGAGCCTGCTCAGGTTTTGTGCAGGCAAACTTTGGGACAGAGGCATCCCTCGTCTGTGTCCATAAGTTTCCTGTTCCCTTCTGTCAACTTCAGCTTGTCTTAGAGCAGCTTGATGCTGTCAACAAACGGGAATTCAAAAGCACCACACATGCAAAACCCAAGCGTTAGGTGAGGCAGATGAGTCCAGCAAAGGTGATGCCTGGCTGCAGACTGGGACTGCACTTGGTCATGCAACTCTGCATTCCAGAGTTCAAAGACCTTTGAATCCAAAAGTCCTTTTATTTTGGCTTTCTTCTGGAGTTCTTTGCACAGGATAAAACCTTCAAATCCCTTCTGGATTCTCCTTGTGCAGCCTTTGTAATGAAGTGCTGAACTGCCCACAACTGGCTCTTCAGAGCTGTCCACAGGTAAGTGTTTTTGGGACATCCACCTTGTCCGTCCAGATCTCAAATAAGGACATGTTGGCCATGGGGTGTTTGGATAAAAACTGAACAGCAGAATAGAACAAACTGTTTCCTTTTTGCAGATGAACCTCTAGGTGCACCCAGTGTGTGATATACCAGAACCCTTAGGGATTCCTCAAGTCCTTAGGGATGCCAGCAATTTCAGTTTTTAAATGATACCTCCTAAATAGCACTATATTTCCTGAGGATTTGTTAAGTTAGTTACCAAGTGTTGCATCGTGCAGTGTTTTCAGAAGTTTAGAAGGCATTTTGCCTCATTACTGGTGTTCTCTTCCATATTCCTTTCCTTGAGGTACACTGGCAGTTCATGCTGGCAGAAGGGAAGAGCAAGCCTGAAGATGATCCATTTGTTTAATTAGCAGCTATAATCTTACAGTGTTTATCAATTTCTAATACCTGTAATAAGTAGCTTTGTTGAGAGAGTAGGCTGTAAAACCTTGAACTAATGTGACCTAAAGTAAAATTTAGGGGAACTGCTGAGTTCCTTCTCTGTGCTGGTGTGTGTGCTCTGTCCTTCCCACCTTCTTTCTTTGCAGATGTCCCAAGATAACTGAGAAGTCTGTTCCAGAGCTGTTCTCCTGGTGTTGGAGCCTTGGCTGCGCTGAAGAATGCACATTTTTTATGAGGGGGAGGAGAAGAAGCCGTGTTTATCCCGGAGGGAGATGTCACAGCAAGTGCAGACTTCTGAGGTGCTTTTATCTGGGGCTGCAGGGTTTTTCAGGCCTTTGCAGTGTCAAACCTGCCTTAGAATAATCACCTGGCCCTGGAAGCTTTATAATTAAGAAAGCAGGAGAGAGGTTCTGTGTCTTTGAACTGATGCCTTCGATAGCACTAAAGAATTTCTCGCACATTTGCAGGGCTGAGCCAGATGTTTGTTTTCTGTCTGAGACAAAAGTGTGGAACTTTATTCGCAGTACTTGCTTTTGTACATCACCAGAGTGGGAAGCTGTGCAGGCTCTCTCTGTCTTCATTGTGCCAGAAATGTTCTGCTGTGGGTGTGGCAGTGCTTTGGGTCACTCTTTACGTTGAGGAGTTAAAAAGTCTGTCTGTGCCTCTGCAGATGTGTGTAATTACAGGTGCCTGGGTTTCGCAGGGTTGGATGGCAGGGAGAGGGATTACTCCCTGAGGTCATGCTATGTAGGGGGCAATACTGTATAAACTGTCCTCTCTACTCCCTTGGGGTAATTTTTTGTTGCCCCTCTCATCTGGAGACAGAAATAGAACAGGTGGGGTTAGAGAGAGACCTTGTGAAAGTGAGTCTTTGAGACGAGGAGCAGGGGCCACGCTCACAGCAGTGTCACTAAGCGGAGAGGCTGTGCTGTGTCTGCCAGCTACTCCTGCCTGTTTGTGAGTGAACATCAAGTGTTTGGTTCCACAAAGGGTGTCTGTGATTCAGTATCCTTGACTCTGTTATGTGGAGGAAGTTGTTTTCTTTAGCCCCTAAGCTCTCTGGGATGCCTCCTTATCCTCCCATTGTAAGAAGTGATGTGTTTGACTGGGTCAGTGTGACCTGTGAAATGAAAGCTGCTGCAGTGTGTCCTCCTTGATCTGAAAAGTGGGATCTGAGAAAAAAGTATCCTTCTGCCAGGCACCAAAATAAACCAGGGCTGTCTGTGCTGACAGACAATACTTGCTTTAGCCTTCAAGGTCCTTAGGTAATCAAAAAATCCCCGAGTGTGTCTTGCATCTGTGCTGTTCAGTCTGTGTTGGTGTCCGGGGAGCAGAGCCTGCTGAGCTGCAAGGCTTGTTAGTGTTCCTGCAGGGAGGAGCTGCTGCCACCAGTTTTTGAGGGCAAAGACACTTAGCTGTTTAGGGGAGGACTTAAAACCTGCTTTTATGTCACATATGGAGCCTCCTTGTCTCCCAAGTACAAAAAACCCCCAAAGCATTGCTGTACTCCCTGCACCCTGGAGTAAGCCCTGTTAGGTTACATGTTGTGTTTATGCTTGCAAATCGTGTCTGCAGCATCCTGTGTCCTCACAGAGAGCTCTGATACTTGAATCTGGCTCCAGGTACTCAAGGAAGTCAAACCTGGGTGCTGGGGTAGAGGGAGTAACGTGGGAGTAATCCTCCTGCAGATGGGCAGCCCCATGCCAGCATGAATAACTCCTGCCACCCAGTCACTGAGGAGGAGGGAGTGTAGGAATAACCCACCTTTCTTGTGTGGAAAATGCAGCAGCTTTGTGAAGAGAATTCATATTGTTGGGTCAAGGAAACAGAGTGCAAAAACATAACAGGTTTATTTTCAATTCAAGCTCAAACATAGTATGAGTTGGGTCATGCTAATGCTCACTGACATCTGAATCAATTGTGAAAATGTTGCTCCATCTTAGGGCATGCATTTGTGGTGGGATTCACTAGAAGCCCCCCTTTCCTTGTGCATGGGGGTTTTTTTTACAAGAGTACAGCACCAAATAGTTTTTACATGATAATAATGTCACTCAGCTTGCTATCCCACAGAACCCCATCAGTTTTTAGTTGCAATGTTGCGTAGACAGATTGGAGTAAGGAGTGGTTGTTCTCCATTTTACTGTAGTTTTAGTTATGGAAACACCTGTATGCTTGAGATATAGTTACAGGAGAAAAAGTGTTTACAATACTGTAATATAAAAAGGTAAAAATGATTGTATTGTATATACAATTGTATTATTGTATATTGTAAATATTTATTGTATTTAAGAGTCAATGTAAAAAGCAATTTTGCAGTATCACTTAAATCTGTAAGACAATGAAGTGCACAAGGAAACTTCATGTTGTATCTTCTTCCTAACACTTCTCTCTCTCCTGGGATACACAACTTGACTAAAGATGTACAGAAACTCAGTTTAAATATCCTGAAGTTCCTTGTGCCCAATGTTGCTGCTCAAAACCCGGGTGCACTTTCTTCGTCGGGCCCCATAACTAGGTGAATTCTTCTTGGAGTAGCCCTTGTAAGACTTTTCTTATGGTCCATAATTTGGAAACCAGTAATCACTCTTGGCTAAAGAGTGACCTATGGCCAGACAGTCAGTTGTTTTCTTCAATATATTTGTCTGGACAGTATTACTGAAACATAGGTGAGCTTTTTATCTCATGTCTTCCACTGCTGCTCCCTTCTTAACAGGATTTTCTGTTTCTTTGACCGTCTTCGAGCCCGTGGTCTTGCAAAAGCCTGCAAGTGTTGTCCTGCCATTTGTTGAAAGAACAGATTTTGCTGAGAGGATGAGTGATCTCCTAAAGCTGTGTTGGCCTGGGGCACGTTGGGAAGGTTGGTTCATGCAGGTGAGTGAAAGAACAAGGAGTGAGTATTACTGGGTCTCAACTTCGTATTTGAGGACGTGTGAGTAAAAGCTGTGGTTGGCGTTCTCGTGCACCATCACAAACACCTCTCTGCACCCCGAGGTGTTGCAGGTTCCCTCCCAGCAGCCTCTGTTGTGGGTGAGAGGGTAAGTGTTCTCAGCCTGAACCAGCACCTTGGCTATGCCGTGCATTTTGAGTTTGAACTGGACGTTGCGGTTGGCGGGCAGCAGGCCCGACAGCGGCTCCAGGATTTCGTAGTCCTCCATCCACTTGCTGTAGCTCTGGGGGAAGGCCGGCCACTTCACCTCCGTGTTCAGGCACGTGATGAGGTAGTTGAAGATGTAGTCATAGTTACCGGGATCCGACCTCTTCTTGGAGTAGATTTTCAGCACGAAGTTCCCGGCGTGCGGGAGGTGGACCTTGAGCTCGATCTGGTTCCCGCGGCGGATTTGCATGATGTGCCGCCGGCCCATGTCCTCGGCCAGGCCGCTGCCGTCGGCGTGCAGGGAGCTCAGCACGCTGATGTCCTTGCCCAGGGTGAAGGTGAGGGAGCAGCGCCCGTCGTTGGTGTGGATGGTGGGCTCGCGGTGGGACGGCCGCAGGAAGCCCTGGCGCTCCGAGAACCAGCTGGGTCCCACGGGCTGGTGCAGGTCCTTTGGGAAGCGCGCGGCCTCGTCCACGGACTCGCACTCCACCACGTACTCCAACACGCAGCTGTAGACACCGTCCGAAGCCTCAGCTTTGGAGGGCTTGGCGAAGATCTCCAGCTTGTGCCTCCCTGTCTCCTGTGGGTAGATATCCAGCTTCATTCCGTGTTTTTTCAAAGTCATTAAACCGTGTTCATCTGTTCCCTTCAGCTTAAACGTAAATAACGTGCCAGAGCGGCAATCCACGGATACAGAGGCTTTTCCATTTACTAGGAAATAAAAAAAAAAGAGTGCATAGGAGCATCAGTACAATTTTTGCATGTACACCCTGTTCTGGGAAGGCTAATCTGTCCAAATAAATCGCTGCTTCTCTAACAGTAGAACAAAGAGCTGTAATTGGCAGGTCATAGCTTGGACCTGTGGCCCTCAAAAAGGAGTGGCCTTTGTTTTGGAGATGTGCATTTATCCTGTTCTGAGGTCTGAAATGGAGCTGTGGTCCAATAGAACATGAAAGCCTGTGTGAAATATAACTGAAACTGCCATCAGGCCAGGCTGGACGGGGCTTGGAGCAACCTGATCTAGTGGAAGATGTCCCTGCCCGGGGACAATCTTTAAGGTTTCTTCCAACCCAAACCATTCTGGGATTCTGTAATTTTATTATCAGCCCATGTGCTCGTGAAGGGCTTGATTAGAGGTGATCAGACCCAATTGCTAGTCCAGTAGCTGCTCCCAGGAGCTTCAAAGTCCAGTGTGTAGGTATGAGATACTCTGCCTCCCTGTGAGCCTGTTCCCAAACAGCTTGAAGACTTCATTAAGTCCTAAAATGTTGTTGACTCTGTTGTTGACAGAGTTTTAACTCTGTGTTCTCAGCACTCATAAATCAGCCATCCAGTTAAATTCCTGCAGCTCTTGGAAAGTCTGAGGGACGTGATCTTGAACATGGGCCCTGGTGTTCAGTGGTGGTACCTGAGTGGTTTTATGCTAAAAGAGCTGCTGGACTCAGGGTGCTCGGCATTCCTCAAGAAGGGCACAGCAGCGTGTGTTGGATGCGGGATGAGTGAGGGAAGCTGCTCTACAGCTGCTGTTCCATGGGGTGTTACCTGTTTGGATGATGGGTGTCTCTGGGTGCGAGGCCAGCAGGCCCAATGTGTAGAAGTTGCTGCTGTGCAGCATGTTGTTCTCAAATTCCTTCAGCGTCAGGGTGGGTTTCAGGAGCTGCCAATTACTGTTATCTGGGAAGTGATTGTTAATGAACAGAGCCGGGTGAGTCAGAAAGTAAAACTCATTGTACCTGGAAAAGAGGGAAGAAATTAAAGGGATATGAGTAATAGTAAGAACTGAATTCTTCCCCCGCAGCGATGGTGGGCTCGGCAGGAGGACGTTGGAGTGCTTTGAGCTGCTGACAGACTGAGATCGCTGGGTTTGAAATCCTCCAGGCAGAGAAGAAACCTGAGCTTTGGGATAAAACCCAGGTATTTGCACTTTCTCCCTCCTGAAGAAAGAGGGAGGCCCTGGGTGTTGATTGAAATGGATTCACAAAAGCTGTGAATCGAGTGCCACGGAGAATTGCAAAAATCTGAACGAGTGGTAAGAAGAACCAGTGGCCCTTTAGCAGGTTGTGGCTTGCTGCTCAGGCTGCTGCCTTTCTACAGATCATGCTCTATCCCCTGTATAGGCAGCCCTGGTACCTTGTCAGGGCTTTGGGTCTTCCTGTGGCACCTAAAGTTTGTCCCTGTTTGGTTTGCCAAACCCATCAGCTTTCTTTGTGCCTTCGTGGTGTGTTTATGTATTAACCTAGAGAGCGGTTCTTTACCTGCGGGTGAACGTGGTGAAGGAGTCATCAACAGAACCACTTCCCCAAGTGCTGTCCAGCAAATGCCACCTTCCTTCAATGTAGACAGCGTTCCAGGCGTGGTCAGAATTCCCTGTGAAGGTCTGCCCGATCTTGTACCCGTGTCCCTTGGCATGTCCCGACAGCTTCTTGCACTGGACCCCTGCAATACTGAGAGGGAATGATAAGATGCAGCAGATCTGTTTTACACCTGGCAGGTACTTCTGTGGAAGGAAAAAAGGTGATGATGCCTGAGGTTCTGGGTAGGGCTGTTTGGGCTCTTTGTTCTTGCACCCTTTGCACACGGACTCAGAAGGAGCGTCCCGCTGGAGCTTTTGCCTTTTCCCTCCCAGTTTTTGCATATTCCCTCTCTTTTTGCCTGATGCACCATCAATTCAGCACTGTTAGAGGATGACAAAGATAAAGTGGGCTTAATTGCTCTCTGTCTTGTTACTCAGTGGAATCCCTTTGATGCTGTCCACAATTAGCCCATGTAATTATAAATTAAAAGTGCAGTCTGTTCCTCTCCTGTGACGGGGGGCCTGGTGTTTGACACCAGCTAAGGTATCTCAGACCTCACGGGACTGTGGATGCTGATTTAGTTTCCTGAAAGAGTGAGCTTGTGCTTGCCCAGGGTGGAAATGATTAAATAGTCTCTTTCTAAAAACATAATGAATACCTGCGTGGATGTGTAAATAAGATTTAAATAAGCACTGTGTTAATAAGCTCTCCGCTGATGATAGCAGTGGATTCTAACACTAGCATCTTATTTCAGCATTAATCTAAAATTGCTTCACTTGGAGGATTGTCTTTTGTGTAGGACAGCACTGACATTTTTCTTCCTTATTGAAAAGTGTGCTAAATGGAACAACTACCTTAAGTAATAAACTGTGCAGGCTTCTGAAGCAAGATTGTCTGCATACCGTGGGTTTAGCTCAGGAGAAAAGTGATATTTATGGGGAGGATAATTAGCACGGCTGTTAAGAAGTTGAGGTCTGCTAACAGATACTGGCTGGCAATTGGCAGTGCAGTGCTGCTTGTAGGAAGGACTGTTTTTTCCATGAAGAGGATGCTGGTTTCGAGGGAAGGTGGGCACCTCAGCAAAGGAGGGGAGGGAGCAGCAACAGCGGGGCACTGCCTGTTACGTGGGTGCCCAGAAAAAATGTGGCCAGGCTGCAGCGAATGCCATGGAGTACCCTGGTGCTGCAGGGGGTCTGGAAAGCCCTTGCCAGCCCACAGTCCCCTGTGAGCCAAATTCTATCGTGGAGCTGGGCAGAAAATCTGGAGCAACTCCACTGATGAGACTGGTGAGAGCTCGGATTTGCATGATGTAACTGAGACCAGGCGCTGGCCCGGGCGAACTTCAGGGAAGATTTGATCCTGGGAGTTTCAAGGAGCTAAGCACCATGTTCCCACTAATTTCATGGGGATTGGTGTCTAATCCTTCCAGGCTCCTCTAGACATTCTTGTTAGCTGGGATATTCAGAGGGGGCAGGTTCTGCCATTGGCTCTCACTGCTCTCAATTACAGTGAACGCTGGCAAAGCAGCAAGAAGAGTTTGTGCTTGGATGTGTTCGAAGTTCCCAGAAGAAAGGCTGGAGCATTTAGACAGTGACCTCTCTAGTAATAGGCAAAAATCCAGGCTTAAACATTCTTTAAAAAAGCAGTTCTGTAGTGGTGAAAAGAGTGATCCTGTATAAATGAGTTTATACAGATAAATTAAGCAGGCAGAGAGAAGAGATGGGGAAGGTCTCTAGAGCTTGTGGACGTGGCAGTGTGATGGTGGAAGATGGCCTAAATACGAACTGGACTGGAAGAACTGACTTAAGAAACATTTGGCAACATTTGCTTGGTGTAGCAATGAGGTTAAACACAAAGTTGCTTTTCTGCTTCGAAAAGAGTAGGAGATAGTCTGGATCTTGCTACAGGTAATCCCCAGGATTCAATGGCACCTTGTTCCCTTTGATTTTAGGTTGACTTTGATAATTTCCTCTAAGAAAGGAGCAAATCTGGCTTCCCCAGGGGGAGAGAATGGTTTATGTTTGTGGTAGGTAGATGTATGTCTCTGTACCTGAAAAGAGGGGAAGGTTCTGACTGTAGGAAACAGGAGAGGCAAGAGGCTGTGAAACCTGAATTATTTACAGGCTGGTTCTGAAGAAGGAGCAGCTCAGTGGGCTGATCCACTGTAGGCAGTGCAGCCAGCTTCGCTCCCAGAGGTGCTGCTGGAACCTCTCCGGGGAAAGTAATTGTTGTGCCTTCATCACTAATCCTGGTGAGTGAGTCTCTCCATAAATCCAGGCTGCTGGGTTTGCCCTAAATTGAATTTGTGAATTTACACTCCCTGATTCACTCGGCCGTGCTACCTCCTCAGGTTTGCTTGTCAGATGAGAAGCCAGTTCTTGATAAATGCTGCTGAAATATTGGTCAGGAGCCCATGTTTGCATTCATTGCAATCACATCTGATATTTGGAAAGTGATGTTTCATGGACAGCTTCCCACTGTCTGTGCCCACCTTTCCTCTGTGACAGGAGTCTCAGCTAATGGGAGGAAGTCAGGCTGCCAAAGCTGTGCTCAGAGGTGACAGAGTTGTGTCTGCAACAGGAATTGTTCCCTCTGGCACTGGGACAAGTAAGACTCAATCAGTGTCAGACATTGACTTTGACAGGACCTTTGGGGGGGACTCCTGGTGACTGGCAAATTGGGTTGTTTGTTCAAGTTCCCTCACAGGAGCTAGGTAAAAAAGGCATGATAACACACCTTTTTTTCCCCCAAAACTTGGCTCTGAAAAACCTCCCTGTAAGATAACTGCTCTTTGCCTCTTGTCTTTCTGCTTAAACTCAGTATAAGACTTGAAGAGAGCACGGGAAGAAGGGATGAAGAGATGCCTGTGCAAGAAAGGGGTGTTATCTATGAGTACAGTTTTTCAGGAAAGGAGCTAAACATTTAGCTAAATGACAACAGTATTTGACAACATAATAGGCTGCTTGACTGGGAGGTTTCCTGAATCACATAGTGACTAATCAATCTGGAACTGAGGAATTATGAGTAAATCAACAGCACCTTTAAATAGTCAAAAATATCCTTGGCAAGATTAGTGCTTTTAATGAACTAAACATATGCTTTTTAATGAACAGATGCAAATTTCCTCCTCCCTCAACTGTTAATAACTGTTCCATAAGATGCAGCTATAAATTCATATGTCACCATCCTATTTCTTTATGTTACTCTTTAGAAAGCAAGTTACAATATCATAGAATGGTTTGGGCTGGAAGGGACCAAATACATATCATGGGATATGTTGTTGGTTGGAAGCACTCTCCACTTCAGTATGTTGGTTTTCTTTAAACCTCTCTTTTCCCTGTAGCTTTTGTGGTGAAAACCTTCCCAAAACTTTTGGGATGGTGTGGAAAACCAGTTGTTACTTACACATGTGATTAATAACTGGTCTTGGATTTTTCCAAGGAAATCTTGTACATGGAAGGTGCTCCCTGGGAAAGCCACCTCACAAGCCACCCTCTTAGGATTGCTGTAGGAAGTCCCTTCCATTCTCATGTCCCTGAGTCATCAGGTCCAGTTTTCTCTTGGACAACACTTCTGCATAAGGCTGGTCCCCAAACTCACCAGGCACCTTCCTTGCTTTCACTACTCATCCAAGGCAAACTCCTGGGAGAGGAGAGGTGCTGGGAGAGGAGAGATGTTGCTCCTTGCTGTGGCATTTGAGGGTTGCCTTGTGCTACAGCTGTCTCCTTTCCTTACTGGATTGGAGGGATGTGAGGGAGAAGGGATTTGGGATGCATCCATCTGCAAGGCCCCCGTGCTCCCTGCCAAGGAAGGGGCTGCCTCTTGTGTGATTTGTGATTGTAAAGTTCTATTGTGAGGGAAATTTATGGGACTAATCCCCAGTGAAGTCCATGAGGTTTTGTAGGCAGGAGAATGGCTTTTAGTCATTAAATGCCAGGGTAGCTATAAAATGGGAAGTGCATTATTGCCCTCAATGGTGATGCACCTTGAGATTGGCCTCAGAAAACAGCCTGAGTGTCCCTGTGGTGCTTCTGGAAGGGACAGAGATCTCCAGAGGGTTTTGGGAAAGCTCCTTCTGGGGGTGTGCATACCTCTTCCACGGGAGCACGTTGCAGACAGCGCTCCTTGTTCAAGTCTTGCTCTGCTTTTAACCTTCACATCCAGATACTCCAAGGAAAATCCTAGTTCTTCTAATCAAATTAGCTCCGTGTTTTCATCTGCCATTATGTTAATGCAATGCGAAGCTCAGCAGATGGCACCAAGTAAATTATGCTGGGGAGGGGAGTGGAGAGAGTGGAGGAGGGAGCAAAATTGACCTTTCTAGGACTTGCTGTTTTTCCACAGCATGGCTTGAAAGCTGAAGTCCCATGTCCTGCTTAAAGTCACATCAGTCAATGCAAAGGCAGACAGGATAGGCACGGAGATGACAGGGAATGTTAACTCTCCCTGGCACTGAATGTTTCTGAAGTTAATTTACCTGCACATTTGCTCGAAGAGCTCGGCGTAGCCCTCGCAAATGCTCTTC